GTTTAAACAACATTACAGAATTAAAGCCATTAATGAACATAAAAATTGACTAGACCTTGAGAACAATGATAATGTCACATAACAGTGAAATTTACAATAAAACAAAAAGGAAAATTTAACAAGTGCAAGAATAATTATAACTAACATACCTATTCAACTTTAGCCAATCAAATACAGAAATTTACAAATTAATGGGATTTATGACCAGTTTTAAGAAAGGTTCCACGTCATGTGGGATAAACATAAGTGTTATGATCACATGTGACAACAGAGTCGTTTTCAAATACAGTACAGTATACTGTATACAGGTAATTTTAAATTAACTGGTTATAAAATAATAATTTTTGTAAGTAAACATTCAAGGATATTACAAAATTATATTTATACATAGAATTCAGTAATGTAGTTGAGACCGCAAAAGAGACCAATTACAATTTTAGCTGTTATGGATCTCGTGAAGATTAGCCCACCGAAGTGTTCACCTGAAATTTCAACCCCAGATTAACCAGCCTGAAGTTTTACCACCCTGAAACCATCTGGAGAGCTAATCTTTAGGTGATCCACAGAGGCTGAATTTGCAAATAGTTTCACTCATGGTTTTGATTACATCACTGGTAAAATTGATATAACTTTAGTACTGTACTGTAATATACTGTACTATTAATGGGTAATCTGCCCCAGTTCAGTATGCGAATTTCCTCAACTGCATAACCATAAATTAATTTACAGACAGAAGACACAGAAAAGGTATTTATGAAAGAAACAAGTACAGTAACATGATTCATGAGTAATGAGGCAAGATAATAAATAATCTTTGGCACTGGACTCCTACTTGAGTTGCAATTGTTACATGATTTGGAATTGCCTATCTTAATAAAGCAGGCACAATACATATCATGGGCTTATCATACTGGACTGAGCTTCATTGGCCACAGACATCCAACATATATCAACCAACTTGCAACCACTTACCAACAAGAAGTAATTACACTGGATTACCAGGTTGCATCATTGATTAACAGTACAGCATGACTTTCAAATTTGCGGACCACGATTATTCACGGATGACATCCTGGATGCACCCAAGAATGTCTAAAGGTAGTTTTAAAGTTGCTGGCATTTTTGTGGTCAGGACAGGGAGCCATTTGTTCTAGAGACAATAATTTCCTTTACCTGTATTGTATATATGTGTGTGTGTAGACACAAACACACACACATACCCGGTACTTACAAATACAATACAGGTAGAAGAAATAATTGTCCTAAGGGCAAACACATAAAGGGGATACCGGTATACATTTCTTTGTATACAAGTACAAATGTACACCCCGTCAGCAAATCGTTTTGCGGATTTGGCAATTCGCGGCCATTTTGAGAACCTAACCCCAGCGAATTTGAAGAGCATGCTGTACTTTTACCACATCTCTCCATCTCACCATTCTCACTTTAAGTCACTCAAGCTTACTGCCCAAGTTTCAATGCCATACAACAATGCACATTTTACATGAACAACATACAGGCATTCTTCAATTTAATTAAGGTTTATGTTCCTGAAAACCTTTCATAAATATTTTTTTTTTGTAAATTGGATCACATTTTCCCACCATTATAAAAACTGAGATACCTGTACATTCCTACAAATAACTAAACCTTCCCCAAAATGTCTGAAAATGCTACAAAATATGTTTTTATTATTTTTTTTGCATGTACATAGTAATTACAGTATATAAACCAATAATATGAATAATAAGAGAAATACATACAGAGGAGGACATGGGAAGTTACTGAGAAACTGTGCAACTGCGAGGCCCAACCAAGACATACAGTACGGTCTTAATTTGGTAGTGTACTGTACTGCACTCTACATACAGTATGTACTGTGTACAGTAATGTTTTGCTTTCACTGGATTTGACTTTTGATGATGTTTTATATGAAGAAGAAATGCTTACCCTGAACAATTAACATTTTATTCTTTCCAATGACATCAAATCAAATTCTGGGATACTAAAGACATCAGTCGTCCCACAGTGGAAATATCTCGAGGCAGCGTCTTGCCACTGCTTCACAGTGATCCTGTGAGCCATCAAAACTAAAACAGTAAACGTATTTTATCTTTAGCTTAGTTAACCACTGGTAATTCAATATACTGTACTGTACTGCTGTCCAGTACTCTAATCTCAAAATCAATATAGCAAGTGATATCTATTACGTAAAATGTATTCAGAAACTTCTCTTTGGACAGATTTACAAATTCTATGGTCACTTGTGTACTTCTCTAATGAAAATATCTCATTAATCTCTTCCCAATTCGAGTTTCATTAACACACACTAGTTGAAAACTAAAAATCTTCCACATTTCATTATAGAGCACTCTGATTTTTTGTTGTGTGGCATGTATTGTATTTAAATCCTGCCAGAAATTTAGTCCAGTATAACAAATCCCATTACAGTACCATATATACATGATGAACATTGATTTACTGTACAATTGCAAGATCGAGCAGGTTGGATTTCAACTAAACTAGACTTACAAGAATTCCTATTTTATAGACAATGAAACCACAGCATCAGCCTGGCTGACAAATCTATCAGTGATCTGCTTTACAATTAGTTAACGAATCTAAGACCTAAGTCAAGACTTAGATTTATCCACAAGGCCATGATGGAATGGCAAGGGGCTTTTTATTCACTTTGGCTTGTACAGAGCTACTTAGTCACATAAGAAGGCCCAGGACTTTATTAATAATTTTCAATTAGGAAGTTGCCACCTTATGATGGCTCAGACACAACTTAATTTAAACAAAAATTATACTTAGGTGGAATCTTATATGTAGTTATGAAAAATAAAGTTAAATTCTTATATTCATTAATAAAATTAAAATAATGATGTAGAAATGTGGAAATGAAGTGATGTGAAAATGAAATGCCTAAACTTTAGCAATGATGTATGAATTTAATTAAAAAATGATATATGAAAAACAAAGCACAACATGCAACTAGAAATCTCAAGATATCTTATGCAATGTGATATCTCAAGATATCTTATGCAATGTGATTACTTCGCATACCTGTTCAACTGATCAAGCAAACCTTTGACCTTACTAGTGATCAACAGGCTGTCTAAAGCTAAACATCACTTTCCAAACAGCTAGCCTCTTCTGACTGGAGAATATGTTTGGGTAGATATTAAACAAGGCACAAGGCAAGTCAGCTATTGCTGTCAGTTCTCTTACCACTGACAGAGTACACAAGGAAAACAAAATATTTGATATTCAACAAAAACTTTCATCACTAACTTCTCTCCCTGAGTTCACATGAAATACATCTGAATATCATACCAATCATCCAACCTCCAAACACATTTAAATATATAAAAACAATTCACTTTACGGTGTATGAAAAAATTCCACTTGCAGGTTAAGAGTTAAATCAGGATTCTATAATTTCTAAGACAACTTTACTCTTATCAAGTGTTGAGATTAGACAAATTTTAAGGTTTTTACATAATGACACAGACATAAATAATCATAAAAAATCTGCAAAGTTTTCCTGCAAGCTTTTGGAGACACTACAATGTAGTTTTTACTTCTGAGTAATTCCCCAATCATCAGAGGCCTATACAGTATAGGTTCATTTTTGTCAATGATAAATGAAGAAGTCTAACACATTTACATACCAAACACAATGATACCAAGCTGAAGAGGAATACTGTGTACTGTTCTATTGTAAACCAATGAGATGAGCAGGAGTCAAAAGAATAAACTTAATTACAATACACACATAATGGTACTGTATTTATCAAGCAATTTCTTTCATTGTAACTTATACTATCCTATACAGATACACGAGACAAACAGAGGCAGTGTGATAAGACAGGGAGAGAGAGAAGAGAAAGAGGAGGAGAGAGATAGAGATAAAGGTATACAGTAACACTGAGAGGTACTGTAATTTGTAATTTGAGCATGTGTACTGCAGTGGGAGTATAACTCATAGGACTTTTAACAGCCAAAGACAGCAATCATTTAATGTCTCCCATTGTAGTGAGGGTAACTGACCTACTATCTAAATTAAATACTTATTTAAATTACTGACTTCTCACTGATGTTTGTAATGCAAAGAAACTCAGGCTCATCTCAACACTTAGTATTTATGCTTTTAGCTCTTGAAATACAGCATGAAAGATATGTTAGAATTCAATAAATTAGTATAGTACTGTAGTACATAAAATAATTTATGTAGATCTAAAGAAACAATTATAGACCACTATACACATAATATTCCAAAATATATACTAATTCTTGCTCATGAATCTTCTACAGCCTATTAATAATTAAATGATGGCTATTTCATGGAAACATTTTTATATTATATGTCAGATAAAGGTCTTGTAATATAAAAATGCATTTCTAAACTGTTCAACACAAATGATCAAGGCTCACAATTATATAAGCAACTTGGGGAACCTACAGTATGTCATAAAAGATGGATTTTCATCAAATTTCATCATTATGCAGTTTGTCTACCGTACACAAAATCTATACAGGTAAATACGTATTGCAATTTCTAGTTTACACAGTTTTGAATAACATAATTTCTTATACTATGTAATTATATATACAGTATATATATAATTTTAACAGCAAAATATCAATAATATATATCCACACATAAGGCAAAATGACAAGGAGCCAAATTATAATAGTTGTGCAAATGCTGAATAGTTGTATTATCCATAAACAATGATTAACTTAATAACCAGGAATACACACACAAAAAAAGAATCTTCAGGATATTCTTATTAGATTTAATTTATAAGGGATAAGATGTTCTTGTGAGTAGCAAAACGTTCCCTCAAACATGATTTAACACTTCAAATGTGAGTTAGACCTGGCTAAATGTGAAGCAGACCAGGCCAAATGTTGATAAGACCTGGCCAATATGTAGGTAAATTTGACCTGGCAAATATAACAGACCTGGCCAAATGTTCATAGGACCTGGCTAATATAAGACCTGGCCAAATGTTGATACGACCTGGCTAATGTAATAGATCTGGCCATATGTTCAAAGGACCTGGCTAATAAAAGACTTTGCCAAATGTTGATAGGACCTGGGCAACTGTAAATTTGACCTGGCTAATGTAAAAAGGACCTGGTGGCGAATGATTCCGCCCTGGAGGAAAGAAGAAGCCTAATGGGTACACGGTTAAGTTAACCTGCTATACCTTAACTGGGGCTTGGCTCAGGTTTCCTCCCAATAGGAAATTAATTTTATACTAAAATTTATTTGTGTTCCTAAATTACTAAGAGAACAAGTGTCTTCAGATAACAATAAAATGAAATCCTGTATATTCCAGACATTTACAGAGAGCCCAAGTGTAAAATGCCCTTTAAACAGAGCCCACTAAATATGTTTTTCATATACCCTGTAATCCTCTTTACTATTAATTATCTTTTTACATGAGAAAACAATGTTCCACACAAATAGGAACAGTCAACAAGATGACTTTTATTACTGCCAATTAATTAACATGTGATATGCCATACCATTTTCTTCAGGAGTGACTTCAAAATTTTCATGTATCTTAACAAAACTTACCATAATGCTTTGTAGTCAAGTTAATATTCTTTATTGTTTAACTCATATACCTATACTATCTTAATCTGGCCCCCCCCCCCAACACACCTTATGTCATTTACCCCTTTCATAGACCCATATTGCCCCAGCTCACCAGACTTTATATTATATTACATTATATTATATTATATTACATTACAGTATTAACCTAACTGCACAATAAAAGTATTACCCACATTATACTATCCTTAATACCATACAGCCCTCTCTACCCACATTATACTATCCTTAATACCATACAGCCCTCTCTACCCACCTTACTCATTTTTTTATCTTTTTTCTGCATTTTATAATGCTTTAAGACTCCACATTATTGGAATCTAGAATGCCAAAACTCAGTTTCACCACTCTGTTTTAAACAATCCATTACTGTACTACAAAAACACAAAACATGGTCTGCTCAGTTCTTGGTCTGTATTAATAGTACCTTACTGTCAACACAACGCTAATCAAATTCTTCCTTATGAGGAAAAAGTTAGTTACGAAGGTGTAACGTAAATATGCAAGAAGAGTGGTGTAGGTAACTTCTTCATCACTCAGCAACCCTGGAGGTGAGCATTGGTGCTACCATGACTTTTGTTTGACACCATAGAAATATGTGAGAACTAAATGAAATACTTTTAGTACAAATATTAAATTTACTGTATTATTTCTACTGCTATAATTATTACTATATGTATACAGGTATAGTAATAATCTATCCATTACCAAACAGATTTACTGATAATTTAGATTTGACAACCAAGTTTCCACATGAATAAGTCCAATAATGTGGTGTCTTCTTGTGTTCCCAAATATATATATGCACTACAGATGTCCAAACCATTATTTATACATGTATTAATAAAAAAGTCAATCAAAGCTAACATGATTTGTCCTGACATCCTATAACATTACGGTATTTAAATACAATTAAAAGAAGACAGAAAAAGAAAGTGCAGAAACATGTTACTTAAGAATCAGTAAAGCACAAGCCCTGAGTTTGATTCTGAAAGTAAGTGAGGAAGAGAGGTAATGAGTATACAGCTTGTTACTGCTACGTGAACAACTGGGAAGGGGGGAGGGGGTGCCGCCACTTTGCAACAGTATCAATAATTCTTTCAAACTATACATATTTTTTTAGAGTGAGGTAATAATTTTGAGTGTAATAATGTGGCACTATTCTGAAAGTAATTCATCAGAACAGTGTAGTACTAATATCTAGCAGTTCTATATTAAGAAACATCACATATCACATGTTTAAAAATTGAATCCTCATTAGCCATCTGTAGAGAACTTCAGAATTTTTTTCACTTAATTTAATAATATAAATTTCAATCATCCCCTTACTGTACAGTATATTAGAGCCCGTGCATCACAAACTTTAATAAATTAATATGAACAAAGAATATAATGCAGTATACCTTCCAACTTCAACTCCCTTCCTCCTAGAAGAAGATAAAATTTTAAATAATTGACAAGTGTTGTGTTGTGAGACCAGTGTTTGTAATAAAGTAAGAAGCTGCTCCTTCTGATTACCAAAATCTAAGAAGCATTCACTGTGTCAAGAGGTAAATAGAAAATGTATTCTCTGTATGGTTTGTCCCTCATGCTGATCTCTATACCATAAATAAAAGCACTATAGGGTACAGGTATTAGTCTATATGCAGATTACATGAATAAAGTTGGAGAGTATGTAAGACAATGGAATAAGGATAATGACCACTGAACTAACATAACATATATATACAGGCACCGATTCTTTTCTCTGCCTTTACACATAATAAATGAGTAAGGCAAGTGAATGAAATTAGTTTCATAATAAATTTCTATTTCAACTGACTTTTATTTGAATTACTTTGTATTGTCTTAGCACATACTTTTGTTACTTTCCTTGTGAATCTTGGTGCATCTCTTTCACCCCCTAGTAGATAGGAATATAGTATGGGTGGTGGACAGAAGCATGGGCAGTGGACAGAAGTACGGGTGGTAGGCAAAATATTCAGCATAAGGGTTTATTTAAAAGTTCATTACTCATTGTATTAAACAGCTGAATTCACAACAAGTCCACAAGATAACTTGGGAGCGCAATCAACTAATCAATCTAAACCTTGTTCATTCTCCAGACTTCCCTCTAACTTCACACTACAGTACTACATAGAAGTGGCCAACAATGGCATTCACAAACAAATGTAAACTATCACAATTTAAATTCCAGCAATATCATGTCAAAGATATTTTGACAACAAGCTAAACGTCAGATTCTCTAGTTATATTGTGAACCTTCTTTACTATAATGCTATGCTGTACTTATAGATCAATTGATATAATTTCTAACTGAACTGACATACTTTTAGTTTCACTGTAAGCACATATTCCTATGATTTTTGGAAATTTTATGTACTGAACTGTATAGTATACTGTACACTATTTCTCATTGTCTGGTGCTCTCACTGTTTTGTAGTCAATATCATCCAATATGGATTATTATCTCAATAAATAATGAAGATTTTATAAAGTAACAGACACAGCTAAATGGAATATACATCTATCACCCATGAACTATCATATAACTTGACTAATTGTGTAATGCCTGCTAGGACTAAGACACTTAATACGGTATGAGTTATTTTAAATGGACATTATAACATAATATTTACAAATAGGATATGATACAAAATGCTTATCCAATGATGAAAATTATTCTATGTACAAGCAAAATGTGGATGGAGATTAATAAGTGAATTTCCAGGTACTTTAGAGCTCTTACAGGAGAATACTACTTGTAAATTGTGACCATAAATGTATGATTTGTGTACAATAATATAATATCTAAGCTGAAGTACATTACTGAAGCTTCAAAATAATAATTCAAAGTGTACTGTAGTGAGGCTTAATATCTGGTATTATTAGGACTGGACTAGAAATAATGCAAATTGGAATTGGTCCCCATGTGTACCTCACTGGCCTGACACTGGTGATGTACCTTGATCACCCTCCATGCCTCTCTTTAAGTAACTACTGTACTATCATTTCAGATATCTAGATGTCATGTGCATTCCCTTATTTGTCTAAATTTTGTAAGTTCATGGAAAGCTCAATTTGGTACTGCATTTAGTTTCCCTTGGTAAAAATGTTTAAAATTTTAATTGGTGACAATCATAATTATATAGTACTGTACAGCATTATGTTACATACAGTATTTATATTAACATTAGCACTTTAGATCTAATGCAAGGTACCCACCACAAAAATTTGTCAATATCATAATCACTTACATTTACCATAATATCAACTCATGAGGAATCAAATTACAATTAAGTTTATGATATATGTTATGATACTGATAATATTTGTCTTCATCTTGTTTACAAACACCTCTATACAATGATCATTGAGTCAAGGCCCATATGTCTGAATACAGTACTGTACCTGCAATAATGTATAACGATGTCTTAATTCTCAGAAATCATTTAAAATTATATTACAGTCTTTAGCAGTCAATTGTTATACTGTACTGGTACTTCACACATCTGGTAAATAGTTGCTTTCAGTTGATGTCGCCCAAAATCACTGGGTCCATAACAGATCAGTAACAAGAAGAAAGTGACCATAGTTCCACAGGGTTCCGCCTCCAACTAAATACATTACCTATACTAAAGCTCCATACAGCACATCCAATTATCAATTATAGCAAAAAATTAATCTGAAACTGGAATTTTTTCAATATGAAGCTAAGAACAATCACTACAAATTTTTATTTTATTCAATGACAGAAAGTTATGAAAGTGTCCCTATTTTATTCAATAACAGAAAGTTCTGAAAGTGTTCCATCACCATTATCAACAAGTGTACCTTCTTCCATTGTTACCCCCAATATAACACCCTGGCCTCCTAACATGCTTTCAGATTGATTATCAAGTGAACCAAGAACTGATGTAATACCTGTTGGGGTTGATGCAAGCTGGTTCTTCAAGGCACGCGCCAGCATGGCTGAAGAAGACAGTCCTGTTCGCTGAGGACCTTTCAGGGTGTTAAATGAACTTGCAGGGATAGCAACAGAGAGAGTTGATGTAGTAACTGCTACTTGGTGCTGAGATGACTTTGTATTTGCTTGTAGTAATTTACTAAGTTCTAATTGTTGAAATGAATCTGTTTTTAACTGAACAAGATTACTTTTACCATCATCCCCAGGGAAATCATGCTTTAGGTCTGATTTGACAAGAGTTGCTAATTTTCCTTCCAAAGGTTGTGAAAGGAGAAGTTGACCATTAGGAAGAGCTTTAAGAGCAATTTTCCCACCACTAGCAGCCACTAAACCTGTTAAATTAATACTTGAGATGGTTGTAGATCCTTTAGTTGTGGCAGCTGATCCTCCCTTTATGATCTGTCCAGTCACAGCAATTGGACTGTTGACTGGAGAACCAGCAAAGTGCTACTTACCTGAATAGTTCCTTCACTTTCCAAAGATGATCTACTTACAGGTGGAGTTGAAGGTTTGTTGTTGTTATCTAGGAGTTGACTACCAATGGAACTCGAAGCAGATGAGAGTTGGTTTGCCGGCACTTGGAGGACCTCCCCAGTATTTGTTGTGACAGCTGTTAAACTTTCATTTTTATGTGAATGTGTACAGTGGTTTTTCAGTCCTTGATTCGTACAGTAGCTTTTTCCACAATAGCATCTGTAGGGTTTTCTCACTCTGCAAGAAAATGAATACAGGTACATTATATTTCTAAACAAAACTGCATTTCATTCAGTTTGGTGTGGAGTATGAGCAATATTGACACATACAGCATTGCTCAAAAGTACTAAGTAAAGATTGTTTAAGAATCTTCAACAAAATGTCTCATCGAATACATTTCCCTTACTATATTAAGTCTTCATCTCATCTACTGTATATTGAGAAAAAATAGTCAAAAGTAAACCAAGAGGTAAGGAAACCATCAAAGTTAATAACATAAATTCATCTAATACCTTCTCTAAGAGCTGAAATATTCCCAATGATTATAAATGAGATGAACCTCCACTATACTCTAGAACTAAACTTACTTGTTCACTTTAAATCCTAAAATAAATGTAATATACAGAATCCAAGATTAAGATTAAGTGGCAGGGTACTGTATTAGGGGGTTAAGATGTGAGTTAACTGCCAGTAGTGCTATCCATTCAGCATACCATACATCTGAAAAAATGTGCATCCAGCACACCTCAGTCCAATCCATACAGGATAATCAGGAACATATTCTATACACATACACAATCCATATGACCTTCTCTCTCTCAACATTCATCCAGTGTGAAAAAGTGCATCAACCACCTCCTAAAGGTAAGTGTACACTGATATGCCAATTCGTAAGCCACAAAAGTACAGTCAACCCTCACTTTACGCGGTTAATACAACCCACAGGGAACATGCGGAAAGTGAAAGCAACGCGTAAAGTGAACAACATAACATATGGGATTAATTGAAATAGGGCCGGGCCGACCCCCCAAACTCCACTTTTTGACAACACACAACTATGTTGTAGTAAAAATCTTCTTAATTTTATGATGGTATGCACACACAATTAATAATAATAAGAAATATCAATAATATTAGGTTTTTAACACTTACATTAGTAGAAAGATGGCTGGGCACACGGGGTTGGGGCTGGTTCCGAGGCAGAGGGCAGATGCCCTCACCTGTATCACTTGTATCAATTGTATCACTATCCACCACAAAGGTGCACAGGGCCTCTTTGTCAAACCCTCAAAGTCCATATAAGTCCATATCCTCACTATAATTATCACTATCACTGACTTGGGCGGCTGTGGTGGGTGGCGGGTGAAGAACTCGGTAATGTTTTGATGACTGGGCGACCTTGTCGCACCCTACTGCTCGCTTACACAACATGGCGGATGGCGGGAAGGCAGGAGAGATGGCGGAGGTTTGGATCCAAAAATGGCGCGGATTGCCAGCCGCTCTCCGCGTAAAGGGTACGCACATGAATGTGAGCATCCTGGGTTCCGGCAGGGTACCGCGTAGCGTGGAAACGCGGAATGTGGGACCGCGTAAAGTGAGGGTTGACTGTATAGACTTTCAAGTTCAGCAACATTTTTATGACAGCTGTCAACAAAACTTACTTGCTATCTTTTTTGTGGGCATTCTTTGCATGATACTTAATCCCATTTACATTTTTGTATCGCTTTCGGCATCCAACAACTGGACAAACATACGGTTTATCCTCGCCACTGCTGCTGGAGTGACCTCTGAAAAGGAAAAGGAAAATGTTGAAAGCAGCAACAAGTTATCATTCACAGATGGTACTGTGTACTGTACTGGACATTCAGCAGAGTGGACAGTATATGCCTACTGTAGGCTCAAGACTACAGCATCTGCTGATGAGTACAGTATATATACAATACAGTAGTAGGATATATTATTTTGTTTATTTGCAATATATTGTATGTGTACAGTGGTGTTTGCATATATAAATACAGCTCTTGTGCCTGTCCATGTGAGATGCATAGTTTAGACTTCTGGGAAAACTTTCCCCAGTACAGTGAAAAATTACAGTCTTTTTTTGTGATACACACCTTCAGTCATGCCTCACATGCCCATGAGGATAAGGATATCAGCTTGGAGCATTGGGAATTATAAGAGTACAGTGATATACCTGTTAGCTGGAATAATTGGTGCAAAATTCTTCCTGGGATGAGATATTTCTGGGTAATGAGACAACTGTATTATAATTCTCATGCTCCCAAGCCAACTGATATCCTTAGCTTGTGATTGGTCAATATGTTTTAAAAGCACAACTGTGATTAGTCATCTGGCTCACAAGAAGACTTATTCTACAATATTTACATTCAAGTTATAATACCCTTACAATGTCATAAAGAGTTTTGACGGGGGATATACAATGCTGTAATCAGTTTGTAAGGTAAAATAGTAAAATATTTCAAGTCAGTTACAAGATCACCAACATTATAAATTATGAAGTGTTTTGAGTATCGGCCCTAATACAAATGCTTCAGACTTATTAAATATTTTAGGTGATAAAGAATACGTACTCCAGTATTTAAAATCCAATAACCAGATTTCTCAGAGTACTATAATCAGAGTACTTAAAGAGCGTGTTTTATGACTGAGAACATCTTATTTTACACTCCTGTCTCATTTACACACATTGGGGAGTGAATAATATACATACTGTATATAAATTTTTTAAACAGAAGGAGTTGCAGGCCACCTGTACTTACTTGCTTGCTAGCTTTATGATAAGTTCTGCAGGAATCTCATCCTGAGTGGTCCATGAATCATTGCTGTCTTCATTATCACTATGAAGTGTTTCCTCACAATCACTCACTGGAAATTAAACAAAATCAAATTTAGAAATCTTTACTGTTACCATAAAGTAAGTTACCGGGTAATTAACATAACAAATACATATGACAGAAAACAAGTTTGGAATTCAGTTTTCTTTCACTTGTCAATGTTTATCGAAGAAGTTTTGTAATGCCAACGTTAATTTTTCATTGTGACTACGAATATCACCACTGAAATACCAGTAGGAGGATTGATTCTGAAATACCATTTTATGAGTATATCTGTGGTAGGACCTGTGAGATGTTATGTAACCAGCTTGCCTATGGCATTAAAACTCAGATAACCCCCAGTGAAATAGCCATTAGAGACACCTTCTAGCCATTTGCAGAGCCCAAAAAGAGTTCTTTGGATATGATTATTGCTATTTAAAGCAGAAGATTGACGAGTCAGGTTGTCATATCAGCAATGTGCATCGCGTCACTTGCAAATCTAGGACCAATTCAACCTTCAGTGCCAGCCATTTTGTTAAATATCCTTGAAAGAAAAAGAAAGTACCTGTGTCACTCAGTCCAGCATCAGTTATAAAGTAGGATTTTAGGATCAATCCACCATTTACAAACAGCTAGCTTCTGAGTAAGTCGAATTATTCAAAGACAGTCTGACTAGAAAAGAGATTGGAAAACAAGCTCTAACTGCCATAAGTATGGACTGCACCAGGCAGATAAATCAATAGATACCTGAATGATAAAATAAAAATAAAATAATAATCGTACAGCTTCTCAAAACAATGCATAATTTTTTCATAATCTCCTTTTCAAAATACTGTGTACTGCCTGTATAACAGCCTTGGTACTGATTGACATACCTCACAGAAAGGCTGTGTATGATGCATTTTGTTGTTTTCAAATGCCCAGTTCCGTAAACACAAACACTATTCTCAAACCTAGGTTAAAATTTTGGCCAAAGGCAGCTTTCAGTTTCCTTGTATGAAGGAGGTAATCCTGAAGTTCCAGTGCAATTATACCAACCCGAACACCACAAAGATAAGATGTTAATATATCAAGATTTGCCAGTCTGTGTCCTTTATCTATCTATTTTTTCAATCTTCTAAAAACTTTGTACAGTTATGGGATTGTTTATCCAACATCCATGTATTCAGAATGTTCCAAAAACCAGCTATGATGGGGAACAAATTAATTTAAAATAAGTGCCAATATTAATTCCTGGGCCGAGCAGGGATATTTCCAACCATTCCTCACCTGTTATGTTATGGTTATTTATATATGGTTATTTTCTTTACTCAGTTATACACACTCAATCTCACATACAGCAAGTGAAAAAATACTAATAATTTTCAACTTGTAATATTGGGTAGATAACGGTACACGATTTTGTTTTTAATTTTCTTTTTTACTCAGTTACATGCACACATAATTCTACATACAGAAAGTGCAAAAAATTAAAAATAAATTATTACCATTTGGTATAAAGTTTTACATATCTAAGGGTTTACATCCGTGAAGCTGAGTGGTGTGTGTGTGTGTGTGTGTGTGTGTGTGTGTGTGTGTGAATCTGTGGCAAAAGCACCGTTGCTAAGGATGCTGTTGTGTTGTTAAGGCGAGTATCAGGGGCAACTATAATACAGTTTGTAAACTAACTTCTAACATTTTTGCTCTTTTATTGTTTTCATTATTACTGTACTATTTAAATGCTTTCATTATTGATGTTTATGTACCTACAATTTTAAGTTTTAATGTTAGAGTACAGTACTACAGTTAAAGTTACTTTTAAGGGTGAATCTAGTGATCAGAACAGAGGCTTCACAGCCAGTTACAGAGGGTTTACTCTACCTTTGTATTGTAAGCCTATTGCTCCAAATTCTGGAAAAAACCTTATCCGGCAACCCCCAAGTCCCAAGCATGCTGAATAAATGGTTCCATACCTGTATTTAGTCAATGCTATTTAGTATCATGTGTAAGTATCTAAACAGCCAACAATTTATGCATGTACACTATATCATATACTTAACAACAGATAATAAAAGTCTCTGCCTGAAGAGAATAAGTATACAATACTGTACTTGTATCACTAATAAAACCTGTTCGTGATGCAAGAAAATTCATAAACGATTTGTTTTGAAAAAGTGAAAGAAATTTAGCCTTCTACTTTAAATGGTAACACACAAATATGAGGAGCTCTTTTGGGGCTCTGGCTATACAGTACTGTACAGCAACTAAGCTTTCAATAGGTTTATAGCCACTACTTTGGAGGTTATCTAGTTCTAACATTGCAGACTAGCAGGCTGTATAACACAAGCCAATTAAAAGATGTTGTGAGGTTACAAATGAAAAATAATTTACTGAAGCATCCAAGAAGAGATAATAGTTTAAAGTCAGTAATGTAGAACCGCTTAAAATTCTTAACCTCATACTTAATAACTTACTTGATAAAGAACTCATTGTAAAATTGGAAAAAATGAAGTACAAATAAAACTTCAAACATTTCTTTCCAATACAATATCTGCTAAAAACTATCCTATAAACAATTAGAAAATAAAAGCATTGTAATTATAGCAATCACAAAATACATTGAGACAATAAATACAGCATAACTGTACCATTAGCAAAGCTTTAGGGGAGGAAAAAATAAATAAAAGTTTCATGTAAACACAGATTTATACAACAATCAACCATTGCAATGAGAGTAAATCATAAAGTTGTATTCATTCATGTTATGCAATGGCTGTTTCACAATATATTACCTAGGGATAATTTTCAAGTTACACTATAGCCCCGGCATAAACCATGTAACCAACAGAGTTCTTGTAGCCTGACTAACCTGGAGGGCTGTTACTGATTTGCTGACAGGAGTGCTTCTGTGGAGGATGGAGTACCCACACTGGAACCTCCCACGCTTGAGCCTCCTCCACTCGAGCTGCCAATGCTCGAGGCAACACTTCCCATTGTCTAGAACAAGTGGTATTTCTTTGACCACCTTATTAATAGTTTAAAAATTTGTACGTACACTATACAATATCACCAAACCCTCTCAAAAAGAATTTCTGTACATTCAAGACATAATACATGTACAGTACTGTATATCAAAGATGATCTTTACCCATAATGTACTACCCCTAAACACAGTCAAAGTCAAAATAATATTAAACCAAATAAAATCATAGAAATAAAAGTCATGACAAATGTTGAGACTGAAAGCAATTAGCAGAAGGGTATTACAGGTAGAAAAATATCTGTATAAAGACTTGGAATCATGGGTCATAAATATTGGAAGGATTGAGAGATTCACACATAAATCAAAATGTCATTTTAATAAGGACTTCTACATTAATACCTGTATATCTTCTGGACAATGTCACTCTGACCTCTTCCCCCCACACAAACAAGAGATAAACTCTTGTTTGGACAGATTCACACTTACGTGAATGTCAACTTTGGTGATCAAATCACCCTCAAAACTCAAAAGACATAAGTTTATATTAAAAACAAGAGTGTTTCAATGCCCACTTGCATCCTCTTCAGCTTTGGGTAAAACAATAAACTCTTAATTGAAGATGTAGTGTACATGGACATCAAAACGTACGTTGGTAATCTAAAAGGACTTTTGGAAGTTCTACATACTGTATAATACCCAGTTCCCACTCTGTAAAAGTGGGTTGGCATAAGGAAGAGCATCCAGCAGTAAAATTTTCTTCAAATTTGATTGATGACAACCACTACACCATGCCATCAAGTAACCATGGTTAACCCATGCAACAGTGGATAATGGTTGTAAAACAATGATGATGATGAAAAATGTATTGTTTAATATAAGCTTCTGTTTTTTATTGTGAGTCTAATTTCCAATGAAATGTAGGCTCCACATATGAAATCCCAATTCATTACTATGGGAAAAAGCCAAAAGTGACCTGTGAGATCCATAATTCTCAACACCATCCAGCTAATCCACTATCTAACAGAGTGCTCACTTCAACATGGTGATAGAGGCTCTATCATCGACAACTCTGAGCAAGTCCGGAACACCCCAAATAAATGCAACAGGACATATGTGATGCTGTAAATCCTACACATCACTATAAATGTGTACAAGTCCAGAAAACAGTAAGGGCAAACTTTTTCAAAGTGAGAATTGGGAACTCTTGAAAAAATCTGCCAGAGAGTGTTCATGACAGCACTGAGTGTGAGCTCTTTCAAGGCCAGTACTGGCCAACAGTGCACGACAAAGAGGCGTGACCGACCGCTCAAGTGGCTAACAAGCCAATCAGTGGCAAAGAGGATAAAAGTAAAAGTAAAACCAGCATTGTGCAGTACAGAGTTGCTGCACTGAGCAATCCCAAAGTATGAAATCAAATTTTAGTACCTTAATAAAAATCTTATTCACTATACAGCATATGTACAGTCAAGCTCAACTTCATTTTCTAGTTGGTTTTTGTTTGTCCCTTATCTATCACAATAGTGTACATCTTTCTATGGGAATGAGGTATTCCAGAGTATTTACACCTCCTAATTTTTAAACTAAGGGCTTCAAGTATGTTTTGAACAGATATAAATAACCCTGCTAATTTCGTTTTACTTAGCTCAACTTGGCATTCTCCATCTCTTTGCTCTACCACCTTGAACAAAACATGGAAAAACAGTTTGGAAATGAGCATTTCCCTACTACAGTACAGGTATTTACAAGTACTGTACAGTATTGCACTGTACTTTATATAACATCCACCACCTTCTCCAGTCCTAAAAATGTCTTTTCCTGGCAAGACATAGTGATGATCTGGTGAAGGATGATTGGCACTCTCAGCATGACTTCCAACTAGTATACTGTACAGTATGTATACTGTAAAGATACACACCTAATTTCACTTTTGCTTCAGTTAAGTTCACTGGGCACACGATTTTCATTGGACTCTGTGATAGTGTGATTACAATAACACTCATGCAACAGGAAAATATTAGCTACCTCGGTACAGTACCATACTCAAAAGAGTTTTTCTTATAGACTTCACCTTCTACTCTGTACCTTAACTATAAGCACTTAATTTTAACATAAATTTTTTAGCTTGACTCCACAATGTGGAAGCCTATCTTCAAGTCTTTATGATTACTTATACTAGATGACATTAAAAATTCCATCCTAAATAATGGTAGAAATAAAAGACTTTGGTTAAGATCGACAATTTTCTTTTTTCCTCCTCATAAAAGAAATAATTCCAGATAATAATTTTAACAAGAAACACTCACCTTGCTTGAATTTAGAAGAGAGAGATGTAGTGACCCCCATTATTAGTATTAGTAGTAGTAAGGACAGGCGGCGGAGACTTGCTATTTGTACGTTTTCCAGAGGATGACCCAAGAGTTTTTGTATCTAGAGCTTGGGAATTTTAGCCTGGGGACCACCAGAAGCCTTACTGCTAAGAGGGTGCTTCCGTGGAGTAAGTCGAGGAGCACTTGGGCTGAAGAACACAAGACCGATGATAGGGGAAGGCATGATGGCTGCTGCGTTTCTTGAACAGCTTCTGTTGCAGGATCTGTAATAGTCTCTGATAAGAAAGAAAAAGATGTTGTGCTATTGTTAACATTATCTTTACTTGAAGATTTGGGATGGAAGAGATGATGCAGAAAGTTAAACAGTAAAATTAAGGTGAGTTTAAATAAAACCTTGGCACTCCAATTATAAAGTTCACATCGAATACCATCATTGTCTATGCTATCATAAACCTAAATTTCAATGTGGATGCACATGTTAATGCTAAATGTACCATAAAAGCTACAACCTACGTCAAGAACGGTTCAATGTCTCCCTAATCGAGCACCTCTGAGTTGAAGCTCTCACTCTAAGCAACTTCTGAAAAAAAAATCAAACTGTACTCACACATATGATAAGTACCAAGGTGATGGAGGTGGCAAATGAGATTTGGACCCCACTAACACTCTTGTTCAGGAAATCCTTGGATAAAGGTAATGTGCCAACCCTCACCCTCACCAGAGGCCACAGCCTCAAGTTAAAGAAGCCACAAGTACAGGAAATTGTCAGACCTAACTCTTTTTGGTGCAAGAGGTGTGAACTTTGGGAATAACCTGCCAGAGAGAGTTGTGACAGCACCGAGTGTGAGCTCATTTAAGACCAGAATTAACTAACACTGGTACTGTTCTGGTGCATCTTAAGAGCCCGTGCATGCCTAGTACTTTCCAACATGTGCAAAACAGAGGAATGACCAACCGTCCGAATGGCTAGCAAACCATAAGGTGGTGAAGAGTTTAAGGTAAGATAGTTGTTTGTTTTCCCTCAGGATTTTTGCTAAAACATTTTTCTTCATTTATAGAACACAAATTTAGTTCCAGTGAAAGGAAAAATGCAACCCTGAAATTACTTAAGAAACAGCATGAAGAATATGGAGTGCAACTACTGTATATCGTGCAGTTTACAAGATATTTAAGTAAGGTTAGGTAAGGTTAGACTAAAGATATCTTTGTAGACCACACGCTGTAGTAGCAATGGATATGGTTTCTGCCACTCGAATTTAAAAAATAAATCAGAGAGCTACTGTATGATCATAGCAATGGACCACTAAGCGATGGACTCAAGTTGGGTCATACACTGCAGTTAATCCCTGCCAAAGTTGTTTTCTTACTTCACTGGAGAGGACATGTCCTACTTGCTTGCTTGCTGCTCCTCAGGAAACAAATATATTTCCTTGCCCTGGCACCATATTAGCATTCTAAAAATTCTAACTGAAAACCGAGGTAAACAAGCTATTACTAACGATATCAATACAACAGATATAATGTATCAAATTATGTTATTCAATACAAAGCTGAATCAAAACAATAACATCACTTTATTTTTCGACCTAATCTGTCATCCTTGACCGATCAGATGACTAAAATACATATATCAGCATTCTCTTGACGTTAAAATGACGATAAAAGTAACTATTGAAGCTTTCCATTTCACATCAGCTTTACAATTAATAAGTGGATCAAGTGGTGACACAATTACCACATTAACAGCAAGTCGCAGTATAAGCAGTGCGCACTAACAGGGGCGTAACCCAGTCTCTGAGTCACATATGTAAACAACTCCTGAGGTGGGATGGGGCTGGGAGGGGCCATGAAAACATTTACTGTCAACCACCTACTACCAACACTCAGTAATAAATTATCTGTAAACCACGGTACACTATACCTATATGTGTCTCCTCGATGTGTTGAATAAGCTCTAATAGGTTGGGAAATGACAATTCACAGCCATTAAACTTGCAGTGGTTCAGTAAGAAGACTGCCATAATCAGCTGTTGCCAAGTATCCATAGTTTTGTTTCACCTCCTATTATAAAAGATATTGAAAGTTTATTTCTGATTTTTATAATTAATATATTTGATATCAAAATCCTTTGTTTATCAGTACTATAAATATATTTTAATATTTTGGAAGATATCAAATAGCTAAAACAATCGACTCTAAGTTGACTCTTATAGTAGCGGCTCGGTCGACGACCGCGAAATGCAGACGACAGAGAAGTGCGACGCGGAGGAGGGAGCGATGTACTCCTGCTGCCAGTAAGATCTAGATGCTTTATTATGACACTGTGTACGTAAGAATATTAGAAGAAATCTCTTAATTATTTCCATGTCTATCGTGCTTGTAAATGACAATAAAAGACATACCTGTATGTTGGCTGATGACATAAATCAGACGCATCCATGAAGTTTCAGTACGTAACTTTTAATTCTTAACATATTCATCGAGATTATTTATTTAAAAGGAATATGATTTGTTTCTCAAATATAATTTTATTCGAGTAATTTACTCAGTTGTAGAATGTTCTCGGTTTGATCTTCCTGAGTATTATGTAACTCAGGTAAATGAGAATATCTCCATATCTTTGTCATAATACATAACTGTCCGGGCACTTAATAGCAAGATAAAATACAGTGATCGAGAAAAACTTAAAATGAAAACTTGCAGATGCAATTACAATGATATAGAAGACATGTGAATATAAAATGGTAATTGTATTATATTAATTTTGTAAATAATGTTAAAAGGAGAGAAAAAAAAGCAAGTGTGAGCCTCGAGCAGTGGTCATACAGCCACCACCGCGGAAGTGAACATTATTACCTGACTCAGGTGATAGTGTTGACTTTTCTCGGTAATACAACGATTCAAGTTCATAAACTGAGCCCCAAACTATACAGTATATGTACTTTGAATATAATATGACACAAATGAAGTTTTAGATACCTAACGGTTTCTACTCGAGATAAAATTAAACTGAAGTACTGTACTGTACTGTACTGGGTGGGTTAAACTTGGTTAAGACTGGATTGGGCAATAAATCAGATTATTACAAGGCAGCTTATACTGCATTAACACTATATGCGAGGGCAGCCACCCAATGTGGTTGTAACATTCTGCCACCCAAACTGACTTATAGGACACAGTTATTCACCCCAACATGTTAATTGTTTCACTAATTAGGTTAGCTAGGTACGTTCTGGACGAGAGTTCCTAGGATTGTATACCCAATTTTTCATCTAACAATTACAGCTACCAAACAGGGAGGTACTACCGCCTGGGAAGATATTGGAAGCATAATGTAGTGTCTAATGGTAGACCCTGCTGCCATATGGCATCACGAAAATTGTGACCAAGTCCCAGATTTCTTATCTGACTTTCTTCCTCATTTATACTCAATTGCAGAGTCTCAATTGTTTTTCTTACTTTGACAATACAACATACATATATTGTTTCTCTTTTGATCTTTTTTCATTTTTGTATTTCTTTTGTTTTTATTAATAATAATAATAATATTATTATTATTATTATTATAGTAGTAGTAGTAGTAGTACAGTGTTATTATTATTATTATCATTATTTTTATTTTTATCCTTTTTATCAAATTTATTTACTGTGAATTATTATTATTATTAGAATTACATTTCGCCCTCAGGCCCCGATGTGGGTCAGTGACCTGTGCCTGGTGGACTAATCCCCATAAAAATAATAATAATAAATAAATAAATTAACAGGGGCCATCCCCATGAGGTACAGTATAGTGCACTGATCTGTCTAGTGATAATACAGAAGGAAACTGTACCCAGTGGTCTGTAATCTGTAGGCTCATACTGAACAAAGCTCTTCTCACACCATCACATCCAACTTAACCAGGAAATGAATCCGGTTTGCAGTGGAAACCGGAGAGGAAAACGCGTTATCTATTATCACGCTGACCTTGCATGTACTTTCTGACAAAACTGCAACTACAGTAAATTAATTTTTGTAACAGGTTATAAACAGCAACATGAAATACAACACAACTTAAACAAACGATGCTATGAGTATTCTTCTATACTGACGAAATTCTTCAATAGAACTTTCATTTTCTTTCGAAATTAAAATCATTCAGATACAAAACATACGTAGTGGATTTCACCCCTACAAACGCTGTTTGTCGCTGAGTAGCCGATCCGCAAATTCCCCAGTGTATGCCTCGTGGTCTAGGTCAACCAGCGCCGCCTTACATGACGGAGGTCAACTACTAAGCCACGCCTACCTCCGCTATTTAAGACCTGACCTCGTGGTGACCTGCCTCTTTTCTACCTACACCAACCAGCAAGCAACACCTCCTCCTCTGCTCTTGCCTGGCGGCTCTCGCTCCAGCCGGCGAGCATGGCGACCCACAAGCTGTCCTCCTCTGAGCACCCTCCAGAACCTCTCTCTACATCACGCTTGTAACCAAGCTGCATTGTACATCCAATACAACATGTATACAGAGAGCACATCGTGATTTTTGAGTCTCGAACCAAACATCCCATACCCCACACATAAAAGGAGAGGCAATTCTTCTGCAATTTTCTTCTCAAATATATGGACGACCATATAATTAGGGTTGGGGTAGTAGTAACAAGAATATTAATGGGCAAAGTTGAACGTAGGAGGGCCAGGGGGAGGCAGAGACTGGGATGGATGAATGAAATTAAAAACTGGGTCCCCACAGCGTTTCGAGTGGAAGACTGTGGTCGCCAACCTTCAGATATGAGGACGGTACTCTGATTGATTGGCGTGGTGATAACGCAGCTCATTCTTATTGCCAATTAAAATCTGTCTCCCTGTCTGAGATCCGGGTGTGGGCGGGCTGCCCCAACCCTTCTCGGCCCAAATTGGTGGGCAGGGAACCCTGACCTACAAGAGAGTAGCTAAGACAGATTACAATGATGAATATGAATAATTTATGTAAATTGGATGTAAAAAATAAATCATAGATAAAATTAATGAGTTAAACAATACAGGGTTCTCAATTAACGAGCAGTAGGCCTTTTTATAAATATATTATTACCATGCCATTGCTTTTTTTTATTACTTTTATAGAAAAATAGAATATTCTCGTGCGTTTTCTTTATAAGTTATATTACCGGTAATATCAAGTAGGTATACAATTGTGGGAGATATAGCACATTGGCTGGTAGTGTTTGAGTGATGGATGCTGTGGAGATGTGCGCTGGCCCTGGTGGCTGGTGAGGTAGCTGAAGCTTCACTGTGCTGTTGTTTTGTTTTGACTAGTGTAGTCGTGTTGTGGACCGAGGTACAACATGAAGTCTGTGTTTATGGTGGCGGAAAAGCCGTCACTGGCACAGTCTTTAGCAGAAATACTCAGCAATAAAAAGTGTAGCTCGAGAAAAGGTAATAAGAATCGAAGTCATATCTGTAGGTATATCTAAAGTGACCATATTATGACGAGAATTGAGTGTTGGGTGGTTGTACCGCGCCCTCAGGGAACGTGGGTGGATTCCTACCTTTTCTTTGGACAATATTATTATGAAAGTACTGTATTTGAAGAAAGGTAATATTTGGGTTATTTGACTAAAGGTTTTGGAGAATGTGAAGGAAATGAGGGCCAATCCCGAGCACCTTAAATGAAAGGTTCTAGGACAGGAGGTTCCACTCAACAGACTCCAAATACTGTATTAACCCCCACATCTTCCTTTATCTTCAAATCTGTGCCCACATTACACTTCATGTACTGTTGTCATATGTGTCCAGTGATCTTTCCATAACGCTTCCAGATAATATGAACCCTTGATGATTTTTACAATAATTTTTTATATAAATTTCATGAAGTTGAAAATAGATGAATTACTGTAGAGTACAGTACTGGACTCTAGAAATAATTTTCTTTTATGAACAGGTTTTAATGGAGCTTGCAGTGTTCATGAATGGACTGGGTCCTTCAGCAATCAGTCCGTTCGTTTTAAAATGACATCTGTGTGTGGACATGTAATGTCATTAGACTTCCCAGGGAAGTTTAATAATTGGGACAGAGTTGATCCTGTAAGTATAAGTTTGGACCTTGTTATGATTGTCAGTGTATTATTGTTAGCCAGTGTCTTATGTTGAGCAGGTGTTGATGAGGGGAGCACTACTTGGTTTTAAATTGTATTTATAGTTCTCATGTTTTGGGATGTAATGCTAAAGGCAACAGTTGAAGATGCATGACTGTGATAAATAAAAGAAGAAAGAATGTTAGCCCAGTGAGCTTATGCGATTCAGACAGAAATTAAAAACCAGCACATACGATAGGAAGGAGAAAACAGGGATTGTAAAGTTACTGTACTGTATTGTACTTCCCAGTGAGCCAAATGCCTAATACACAATACTGTACAATACTTACATAATCATGCTTGCCCAAATCTTCTTTTCAGTTAAATAAAATTTCTTTCCTGTGCCACACTAGTCACTCTATTTACTGACTTAATGATTACAGTTGTTTTTATATTTTCCACTCAGGCTGAGTTGTTTAGGTGTCCAACTGAGAAGAAAGAAGCAACAGCCAAACTTCGTATGCCAGAGTTTTTAAGTAAAGAATCTCGAGGGTGTGACTACCTTGTATTGTGGCTCGATTGTGATAAAGAGGGAGAAAACATTTGCTTTGAAGTTATCACATGTGTGGAGAATTCAATGACCAGGCCATCTTTTAAGGAACAGGTGAGTTGCAAAGTAGTTTCATGAGAAATTGCAGAAGTTATTGGGCCATCCCTTGAGCATTATATCCCCAGATTAGGCTAGGATTATGGCAAGAGGATGAAAGAAAAAAAAAACATTGTACAGTATTATTTTTTCATCCCATGTTTGTTAAGTTTTTCCCATCTCTGATTCTTGAGTTCAGTCTTCACTTACCCAGTAATTTATTTTTGAATAGAGTGACTTTAAGTTGTTACTGGCATTGGGTAAATAGTACAATACATCTCCTTTAGAAGACTTGGCACTCAATATAATAACTAGGCCTGTAACTAATGTACTCTTGATATTTGATGAAAATTGTTTAGGAGGAATTGTTCAACAAAATCTTTAGTTGCTCCTGCCAACCAGTGCTATACATATCATCCTTTCATCATTGCCACCTTCATATCTATATATTAGGCAATTTTTGTACAGTACTGTACTTCATGATCCATTGTTAATATCACTGTCATGTGTTCCAAAATTTTCTCAGGTATGTTCATTGTGCCTGCCTTCTAATTTAAATAGAATTAATGACAAAAGGATAAAATTTCATCATCTTATATACTGTATTTCTCATAACTTTTTCATCCAATGCAAGATTGTAGTATGTCCTTCACTGTTTGACATTAAATTGCAGACAATCTTTCGTGCCAAGTTTTCTGCAATCACAGACCGAGACATAAAAGCTGCAATGAATACCCTGGTAGAACCTAATGAGAATGAATCAAGATCTGTGGATGCTAGACAGGAACTAGATCTTCGAATTGGATGTGCTTTCACTCGATTCCAGACGAAGTTCTTCCAGGTGGGAATATAAGTGAAATCAGTGCAAGCAAGGTTGTTTTGTGAGAAATTCTACTGTGTGGACATTGTAGAACATGTTTTTCTTTGCCTTGGTTATAAAATAAGATTATACTTATTTCTTTATTTATATCAAGACACAGTATTGTATTACACAGCATTTTTTCTGTGTATTATGGAAAATCAAAAAACAATTATCACTACCCTATACAGTATAGTCCTATAAAAATCCATAGGGATGTAACTTAAAATACAACTCGAGATATAATTTCATTTTAATTAACATTTATGGATTTCAGATACTATAGCATAAGTGTTAGTTATTGTACTCGTTTACTGTATTGTGTTGTACAGTGCTGATGCAGTACATAAAAAAAATAATAACTTAAATTTCAGGGAAAGTATGGTAACCTTGATTCATCTCTCATCTCCTTTGGACCATGTCAAACCCCAACTTTAGGATTCTGTGTGGAGCGGCATGATTTCATTCAGTCATTCAAACCCGAGACCTACTGGGTACTACAGGTAAGATAGAAAATGAAATATAGCAGTCATGGAAGTGATAGGAATAGAGAAGAGCAGTTTCTGTGGATATCTGTTTGTTATACTGTATTGGCCTCCTTTTTCTTCTGTAATTCTTCACATTTGCTTTACACCTATATCTTTATTATTGCTACCCCTCCTCCCTCTCTTCCACTTTGAGGATTTTGTATCCATTGATCTCTCCCACAAAAAAAAACAGGAGAGGAGTAAAGATAATATATAATAGCTGGATATTATGTAAGAATTTCCCCCTTGACATTTTCATCTTGTTTTTATCTCTAAATTTTTAGATACTAGGTATACATTTTACCTTAACACTTTAAATATTAGTTGAAGAGTGCTTGCTATATACTGGTTTAGACCTACTCTGTGTGTGTAGTGTAGTGTAGCACATGGCAGGATGGTGAGCTAGGACCTACCTCGTGTGTACAATTCCAAAAGGACGTTCAACTAGGACCTCAGCCTGAGACATTTACTTAATGTTTTTGTGTCATTTGGTATACAAGGGAGAAGTATCATGATAAAATGTTTTCTTAGTACAGTTCTTTTAAAGTAACATACCTGAATATTTTCTAACTTGTTCCTGCTTTCTCATATCCTCTGTATGAAATATATTGGACAGTATTTTGAATTACAGTATTCAGCTGTTGCAGTATCAAAATTTGATGTATTTTTTTTTACTTCAGGTAAAGGTGGCTGTAACTGAAGAAAGGCAGTTAACCTTAGAGTGGGAAAGAGTTCGAAGTTTTGACAAAGATGTAGCAAACATGTTCCTTAACATAGTGAAAGAACAGAAGCGTGCCAAGTAAGATACATATTTCCGCTTCTTAGTCTCTGCTTTCATGAATATTAATATATCCCCTTTCGCCACAATAATAGGTGCAGAGCTCTTCTGGGAATGAGAGATTTCTGGGTATTAAGACAAATTTCTCATCCCCCGGAAAAAATCGCACATCCTCAGAATTTTTCCAGGTACTGGGGAAAGTTTTCCAAGAGTTTAACCTATGCATTGCGCATGGACATTCACCTTCACACATCCCTTGAATGTTTCCAGGTGCTGGGGAAAGTTTTCAAAAATCTAAATTATGCATCTTGCATGGACAAACACTCTTCCATAATATTAGGCTGCGGTCACGCAAGTGAAAATATTTACGGCTAGCAAAAAAGTGTACAGGTATCCCTTACTATATAAATGTTTACGATACAAAAATTTGCTTATACGAATTTCCTAAATTACCACTACCGGGTATATTTTATGTTATGAAAGCTTCAACAGCTAATACGAATTTGGGTCGTGGCAAAAATTTGATTTGCATGCTCCTAGGCGTCAGTAGCATCTGTTGTATACGGTAATAGTGTTTGAGAGATGAACTTGGTACTTCAAAAAAAGATCCTTAAACAGAATGTTTTGACAATGTATAATGATGGGGACTCAATTCTTTTAAGAAAAAACGCCAGAAATTTTATACCGAGACTAAAATTTTTAAACTTAGAAACACTTTTTTTTTACCTAATTAACCCTAAACAGTTTATCTAGAAGTTTGGTAAAATAAATATATTAGAAAGAAATAAAAATAATAATGTACTCACCAGCACATACTGTCAGCTTGAGTCTACAGTCGACATACACTGTCCACTCTCCTGAATGTACAGTACAGTATATGTAACTGTAATAACTTTTTGTCTTAAACACTGTATTCTTGGCTGATTGTGTCCTGGTACAGTACTGCACAACACAAATTATACACAAAAATGGCAGCAAGTGAGTGAACAACCTTGTGCAATGGCAGCGGGATATCAACTAAGCATGCGAGCCTTTGGCCTAATTTACCCAACCAGCTAGCTCCACCCATGTGCCTGGAATGTGGGAAAATGTGCAGACGCATTGATGCATGATGCAATCTCTTGAAACTCCCATAAAATTTGTTCCCATGCTCAGAATGGAGAGAATTTTCCTGGAATTTCTATGGCTCAAAATCCATTCCAGCTGCTGGAGGGTTCTGGGGATTCTGGCAAACGGGGAGCTTACTGTATTTACTGTTATTAAACCCATCTTCGTAGCTTTGCTGGTCTTCAAGCCAGTTGTACTTAGGTAGATTTTTTATTAAACAGTTGACATGCTGCTGTGTTTTTGTGTCATCTCGATTCTTGCAGTATGCTTCAGCCATATCAGGGCTCTCTCTCAAGAAAGAATCAATATATTTCTCTCCATGGCATGCATAGCTTTAATTATGATGGAGGTGTTGTCTCATCATCATCTCTAATGCTGTTTTGTGTCAGTCCTTGAAAACTAGAGCTTTATATATTTTGAGAGATGGTGGAAGTGGATGGAATTCTATGGAAACATTTAGTAGTTCCCATTTTGTACCTTGTTTCCCTCCAGGTTTCTTCTTTTAGTGTGCAAGCAATAATATTGTTAAAGATAAGTCACACATAATGTGTTAAGATTTTGAAATAAGAAAAACTGTAACCTTGCCAAACTTATGTTCTCTGAAATAAAATTGACCCATTTTCTTAAGGCACAATAGCAGATAATTTTTTTTATCTTGGATTAGTTTTCATATTTTTACTTGTTTACATATTTGTATGTTACTAGCCTTCTAAAAATTTATTCCATAATATTAAATTAAATGTTTAATCACTTCTACTGGTATTGATGGCAGGGTTGTGAAGGTGGAAATGAAGGAGAAGTCAAAGCCACGCCCTCCTGCCCTGAACACTGTGGAACTGATGCGAGTGGCTAGTTCAGGTCTTGGAATGGGGCCCCATCATGCCATGACCCTTGCAGAGAGACTGTACACTCAAGGATTCATCTCCTATCCTCGCACTGAGACAACTCATTATCCTGAAAATTTTGATCTCAAGTAAGTATTACATTGAAGGATATTAATCCAAGACTTATGTGGCTTTGGGTGGAAGGAGTTTTGTGCGTGCCTGCTTCAAAGTGGTAACAATAGCACAGTACAGGAATTATCAGGCTCGACCAGAATGCAGTTTTAATAAAGGAAAATTGGGGTCTATAAGAACTTTTTCACTCTGGATTTTGAGAATTTCATCCAGGTTGGGCTCCCACAGAGCCTATTGACTAGATTTATGAGAACTATGATATGTAAACCTCTTTGATTAGTCTGTTTAGTGTAAACATGGTTGGTACCTGTATTACAAATGCCCCTTTATAATTGAATACTTTAGTATCACATCATATGTCATGAGTCTTAGACTGTATATTCTTTTCAGGGGAGCTTTGAAAATTCAAGAAGGTCACAGTGACTGGGGTAGTACTGTCAGAGAAATTTTGAAGGAAGGTATTCAAAGACCAAAGAAAGGTCATGATGCAGGTGACCATCCACCAATTACCCCAATGCGTTGTGCAGACAGAAATCAGTTGGACCATGACTCATGGCGCCTATATGAGTATATTACCAAGCATTTTATTGGTACAGTAAGTATATTATTTTATAGGCAATGTCTTTCACAAGCTATTTGTGAATTATATCCATTTTAACATGGGGATAGATTGTGAGAGATGACATTAGAATTAAGAGCCTGATGAAAGAAGCTGCAAGAGACCGTGCAGCATGGAAAGGTGCCATCGGGCAACTGCAGGTAGTTCATGCAAGCATTGAAAATAGCTGTAAAATGTTGATGGCGATATGGATTTTTGGTGGGTACAGTACTTCACTTTTGATCTTGTAATTCCTCACTCTGTCAATCCATCATCAGTGGACTGCGGTGGTAAAATCTGCACAGTAACTTTTGACATTTTCAAAACATTTGACAGATTGGCATCAATTGATTGCTATTGTAAAAATGCTCTCCTATGGCTGTTCCTTCTTATTCCCTTTAAATTATTTCTCTCTGATCACAGAAAACATGAAGTTTGGACAGTCTTTTTTTCTGATTCACCTCTTAGGCATGCATTAACACCTTGGTTTGCAGTGGTGAGGAGGAAGGGGCCACCCCATTCTGGTTTTCCCAACAGCCATCAAGTAATCTCCGCTAACCTAAGCAAGTGTGGAAAATGACCTTAAAACATTGGTGGTGATATTGAAGATGTTAATATTCATCTCTCAAATTTATTATTCTCTATTCCAGCTAATGCCTGACTGCATTTACCTTAGTACAACAATCAGTGTTACTATTGGATCTGAAAACTTCAGCATCTCTGGTAAACAGCTGGTAGACCCTGGTTTCACAAAGGTTTGTTTAAAGTCTTATTTAGTAGTTTAATGCCATATATATTTTTAAGTGGAATATTGCCTGTAACCCTTCCCACTGGTATAAAGAACCAGAACTATTGTGTTGTATACAAGTTACAACATGAAATACTGTAATTTACATATCTGAAATAAAAAAAATATAAAAATGAGTATTAAGTTATAGATGACTGGTAAAAATTATAAGATAATTTTTTTATAATCTGATAATGAACATGTGCATCTTATAGAAAAGATTGAAGTATCATGGCACTTGGAGTACTTTAGGACAATGTTCCTTGGTTGTTATTGGTAAATTTATAAGCTTTTGTGTGTGTCAACCCTCACTTTACGCAGTTAATTCAACCCACAGGGTACCGCGGAAAGTGAGAAACGCATAAAGTGAACAACATAACATATGGGATTAATTGAAATAGAGACCGGGCTGACCCCCAAACTCCACTTTTTGACAACACAACTATGTTGTAGTAAAAATATTATCTTAACTTTATGATGGTATGCACACACAATTAATAATTAAGAGAAATATCAATAATATTAGGTTTTTTAACACTTACATTAGTAGAAAAGATGGCTGGGCACACGGGGATGGGCGGTTGGTTCCGAGGCAGAGGGCAGATTATTGGCCCTCACCTGTATCACTTGTATCAATTGTATCACTATCCACCACAGAGGCTTGCAGGGCCTCTTTGTCAAACCCCTCAAAGTCCATACAAGTCCATATCCTCACTATAATTATCACTATCACTGACTTGGGCCGGCTGTGGTGGGTGAAGAACTCGGTAATGTTTTGATGTCTGGGCGACCTTGTGCGCACCATGCTCGCGCCGCTTACACCACATGGCGGATGGCGGGAGTTTTGGATCCAAAAATGGCGCGGCTCGCCAGCCACTCTCCGCGTAAAGGGGTACACACACACCGCGGAATGTGAGCATTCCTGTTTAGGCAGGGTACTGCGTAAACGTGGAATGTGGGACCGCATAAAGCGAGGGTTGATTGTATAGATAGATAGATAGATAGATAGATAGATAGATAGATAGATATATATATATATATATATATATATATATATATATATATATATATAGTAGTATTTTTTTGTATTCTGTCTGCTACCAATAATCTAAAAACCTTTATTTTACTCCAGATAATGGATTGGTTGGCCCTACAAGATGAAGAGAAACTACCTGACCTCAAATCTGGAGATGAATTGGCTATCATTGAGGTACGTAATCTTTGTCTCTTAATTAATGTTCAGGATTAAATGGTTTGTACCATATGGCAATAATATGTGGGCTACCACTTTCTGGATTTTTTTTTTTCTGAGAGCAGTGGGAGATTCAGATCACTTAGGTAGACTACAACAGTAAACAGAAAATTATTTTGTGTATTTTTGGAGGTGTCTGTCTGGTTATAAAATACAGTACTGTACTGTATTTTGATATTATTGTACTTTACTGGACAGCCAGTGTTTTTTACACTTTACTGCTGATAGATCAAAGATATTTCATATTCATACTTTCCAGGCAAAACTTGTTGAGCGGCAAACATCACCTCCAGACTACTTAACCGAGGCAGAGTTGATTACCCTCATGGAGAAACATGGCATTGGCACCGATGCTTCAATTCCTGTTCACATTAACAATATTTCTCAAAGAAATTATGTACAAGTGTCAACTGGGCGTAGACTTGTGCCCACCAATTTGGGCATTGTATTAGTGCATGGCTATCAAAAGGTAAGGCAACAAGTTTTTAGTGTTAAAAAAAAATTCTGGCCAAAGCCTTTTGTCAGGTGGCTGTCATAGTAAGGGGCTGCTTACTGCACTTCCTATGTTCTGGAAGTTTTGAGTGAGACATAATCAAAGCTGGCTGTGTTTACAGTATAGGGTAATTTGTATTGCGAATGAATATTTCAATACTATGTGCAAAAAGAATCTCAATACTGTGATCAAAAAGAGGAGAAAAGTAAAATAGATTGTTAGAGTACTAAATATTTTCCTGGGCTTTGTAATTGAGAATGCTGGTATCAAATATTTAGAAGTACCTCTGCTTCAGATTGACCCTGACTTGGTTTTGCCAACAATGAGAAGTGCAGTAGAAGAGCAGCTGAACCTAATTGCCCTTGGAAAGGCAGATTTTGATTCTGTCCTGACACACACGATAGAGATATTCCAGCTCAAGTTCCAGTACTTTGTCAAGAACATAGAAGGAATGGATGAGCTGTTTGAAGTGACTTTTTCACCTTTGTCTGCCAGTGGACGACCACTATCAAGGTATCTATCATAAACTTATTATTTTTTTTATGTGGTTTCTAACTTTGAAGGTTATTGGACTGGCTTAAAGTTTATATATTTTTAGCTTGACTTTTATTTTACATAAGTTACAGTAACTTACATGCATTGATTGAATCTAAGTTTGCCCCCCCCCCCCAAGATATAAAAGAGTAAAGCTGTGATACTGTCCATCTGTCTGACATTTATTTTTGTTTTTATCAAAAGCTTGCCATAGATTCAATACATAGATATTACTTTTGGTGTGAAATTGCATTACGACAGGTTCTTGCTTTGCTCTGGTGTGTGTGTGTTGCAAGTTCAAGGAATTTTAAGTTATAGCTGATGACAAATTTAGGTAGGCAATAAAAACTTGCAATCCACTTGGCATTTCCATAAACAACGAATATATTTTAATCTTGGTGTTTAAAGTTATAGCCCTTAACATAGATAAATTTAGATTTGTCATGACAAACATGATTGCCATAGATGCAGTGGATTAATTTAAAATTTAGTTTTAAACATCATATTGCTTAAAACTGCCTTGGGTATACAGTGTACACACAACTAATCTTACCCTCTAGTACAAGTATTTAATTAATTTACCTGGCAGGTTTTTCATCAGTCTTTATCACATGCCTTTTGTTTTAACTTATCACTTAGTTATTAACATATAGTAGCTTATATACTGTAGTTATGTACATGGTGTAGATATTCCAAAGTACAATTCATTGCTACTGCCAACTACAGATGTGGAAAATGTCGGCGCTACATCAAGTTGGTGGAGACTAAACCTGTACGACTCCACTGTGTGGCGTGTGATGAAACTTTTGCTGTGCCTCAGAATGGTGTTATACGAGAGTTTCAGGAGAACAGGTGTCCCCTAGATGACTTTCAACTATTGGTTTGGTCTGGTGGAGCTAAGGGGAAGAGCTTTACCTTCTGCCCTTACTGCTACAACAATCCCCCTTTCCCGTGAGTCATTCCCATCATTATATTCATTGTATCCCATTACAAAAGAACTTTTAGGCCATCTTGATGTGATAAGTAATACTTGTGTTTTGGATAAGCTTATAATTTTGATTATAAAAAACATTCCATTTCTCCTTACCGAAATTCTAAAACTCCAGTTTAACTTCTCGTTAAATGGCAGATGAAAATTGATTTATGATGCCACACTGTACGTACTACATCTTCAACATAGTATTATAACCCTATTCAGAATATGAATTTGTTTTCAGTCAAGTTTTATTGAGTTAGAAGTTCTAGGACATACAGTACATGTATGTGAGCCTAGCATTTATTTTATTTTTTTAATTATTTGAGATAATGGACACCAAACTGTAACTATAAGTTACTGTAAAGTGGACTGAGCGTGAAATATTTTTAATCTTCTTATAAGAATTATAAAGATTGCCTAAAATCTTCTGGTAATGATCACTTAATTTTTAGTAAAACTAACATATCCTGGAAAAAATACATTTTTCCAAATTCATATTTACAGGTAATGTGCTTTTGTGTTTACAGGGATATGTCCAAAGGAGGTGGATGTAACCTTTGTTCTCATCCAACCTGCCAATATGGCCGGGACAATGTAGGTGTATCGCAGTGTATGGAGTGTCCTACAGGGATTCTGGTTATGGACCCTTCGTCTGGACCTAAGTGGAAATTGGCATGTAACAGGTAAGCTTTATGCATAAATGTACATATAATCAAATGTTAGGCCTGTTAAGAGAGGAAAGACTATTGGAAGAAATATAATATTCTACTTGTACTTAGCTATTTTATTCTGGTAACTTATTGACTTCAAACCCCATCACCTTTTACAGATGTGATGTGATTATAAATCTCTTTGATAAAGCTAGCAAAGTTCAAGTTCTTGAAGACACCTGTGAAGATTGTGGTTCTCAGACAGTCACAGTTGAGTACAAGGAAGTAAGTATTATTGGGTACAGGTATTTAGTTTGGCTGATTATTGACATATTATTAAATTTGATATAATGAGGTACAAAACATGCTAAAATATTGAAATAATACTATATTTGATTAATAACTTAATTGCAGGGCAAAAGCAAGCTTAGAGATGGTCAGTTGACAGCCAGTGGATGCATATTTTGCAGTACTACATTGATTCCCTTGGTAGAGAAACATAGAGCTTCTCAAGATGCCGGCCGTGGTCGAGGACGGGGCAGAGGGAGGGGCAGGGCAGGAAGTAGGGGAGGGCGAGGGGGTGGTAGAGGTGGAAGGGGACGTGGTGGTGGGAGAGGACGTAGATAATGTTTTCTTACTAGTTTTTTATATACAGGTATATGTTTAAATATATTAAGAACTCTTTTATTAATAATTGTGTAAGAGATAGACATTGTGTGCATTTCAAAATTAAAGACTTCCTAGTTAACAAATAAGGTTATATTTTAAACCCCAAAATGTTGTCATTAATCCAATGATATAATTTGAACTATCATTATACCTTTTTACTTGGGAATTTAATGATGTTTTTTTTTTATTATCATGGCATTTTTTTCTGCAGTCAGTGTATGTATAAGAAACATCTAAAGGTTCACTGGAAAGAGATGAGAAGAGGCATTCACTTGGCAGTATTGAATTGCAGTACAGGGAATCCTCGCTTAACGTCGGGGTTACGTTCCTGAAAACTCAACGTTGTGCGAAACAACGTTAAGAGGATTAATTTTCCCCATAAGAAATATATAAAATATGGGAGTTACGTTCCTGAGCCTCCCTTTGTTCCATGAAAAAAGTTACATATACAGAAAATCATTGTCATTTCTATAGAAAATAGTATATAGAACTACAGTACTAAGTTTGTATGGGTGCTCACCGATGGGCGGAGGTGGTATAGCGAGTGTGTGGTGGGTAGTGGAGCGAAGGAGGGTGGTGAGTCACTGCGGCTGCCTCCTCCTCCTGCTCTGACTGGGGTTTCTCCGCCGTTGTTTGCTCCTTCTCCGTTGTTGGCGGGAATGTCTCGGCAGCAACCGTATCTGAACCCAGCCTCGGCTGGCCGTAAAGGTTCTCTTCCTTCGATCCTTCACACTCTGTTTCCTTCACGTCGTCAAACAAGGATCTGGCCTTATGCCGAATAACCATAAGGCTCACGGGTATTGCGTTGATTCTGGTCCTCCATCCACATTGCCAGCATCTATTCCACCTTCTCTATCACAAAGCTTCTCGTACTAGTCGTCTTAGTAGCACTCAGAGACGAACCACTTCCAGCACTAACCTTAATCTTGTCAGCGTTGGTCTGGATAGTACGCTCCGTTGTGGGGGTAGGACCAAGTACAGTGGCAATGTCCACAGCACGTTCCCCTTTTTCAAATCGGGTCAATACATCCATTTTCGTAGCAAGGGTAATGGTCTTACGTTGCCTCTTCACTACACTAGCATCAGTAGCACTTGATGGGCGCTTGGAAGCCATTTTGAATGGTTAGAGTACAGTTTTAGAGCAAAAGCACTTGAGAACACATTATGTGAAGTCGTAATAGACTGGCTTGGCGTCGTTTGGGGACGCTGTGACTTTCCGAAAGTGAGGGCAGCGCGCCGAGCCGAAAGAGCGTAGTGCGGCCAAACAAGAGCGGGTGATGCGCTATAGAAAGTAGTCTGTGACAACGCAAAATGACGTAGTATCGGATCACCGGGACGTTAAATGAATTTTTTGTCTCTCAAGTTCAGCGACGTAGTAATGAAACAGCGTTAAGCGGGGACTTACTGTATAAGCCTCTTTCTCTACATATGATTTTTGTTGTGGTAACAGAAATGTATAAATGTACAGTACTGTACTGTGTGCGCAAAAGGGTTAAGACTTGTTCAGAGCTTCTTGTAGAATATGAAAGGCACACTGGGGATGGGATTACCAATGGCAAGAAGACGAAATCAATTTGGCTAGTAGAATATATGATTGCATACATTTGTTTTTTGATGATGCATTGCATGTGGTAAAGAGAAAAAGCACGATGTGCACCCAAGTGAGTGTGTATCTACTTTAAAGAATTTTAGACAAAATGCAATCACAAGTCTTGGTCAGGTAAAGTGATATCACTATCTAAAAAGAAAGAGCAAAAATTTATAACAAAAGCCAATCAAATTCCTAATAAATAATGTATCTTTGGAGAGAGCGCTGATCTACTAAAAATTACAAAATATTATATTTCATCATCACCATTATTGTTTTATGGCCATTATCCATGCTTGCATGGGTTAGCCATTATCAACTGATGGCAAATTGTTCCAGTTGCTATAAGGCATATTAAAAAAAGGTTTTATGGCTGCATCACCTTCCCATTGCCAACCAAATTAAATTGATGCAATTATCAGTTACGTCACAAAAAATTAAAGAATAAATATTTTTACTTACAATTACTGTACTTGTGAAGAGCTGGTCTATTTTTCAAAAAGTCTGAACACACTGAAAGTTCCATCTGAAAAGTTTCAAAACCTGTGCGCACACAAAAATGGAATAAAATAATATCTTTGAGCTACAGTTCTTGTTATATTGTTATTACTGCATTTCAACAATGGAGGTTTTTAAGAACGTAACAAGGTTAGTAATTACTACACTACGTCTTCTAACAACATTAAAAAAATCATGATAAAACTCTATATAAGCTACAGTATTTTATGTAGATCATATTTATGTCCATTCATGTCTTCAAGCTTTTTCTACTATAATGTAGGATGGTTGTGAATAAAGAGCTAACTCACTCTTTCTTCACTCTCTCATTCAGTCAATCTTATTACTATAATGAGCATTAACTAACTCGTGGATGAAACAAAATTCAGAAATCAAAGACCTCAAGAGGCAGAATTTTTTACACTTGAAGACTGTACAATTTCTTAATCGGAACAAAGATAGGTTATTTCTCTGCATTGAGGACATAACACCATACAGCTACAGCATGTGAAAACCCCAAGAGGCAGATAAGTGAACCTTTATTTACACAATGCATCTTATATAGATCTCTTGAGTGAAAATACACAGGACTGTGTCCAAAATATGAATATGAATAAATGAGAAGCTCCAGCTGTATGAGTGACAGTTACAGGGATATTGATTGGGTTCAAGTTTAATTCTTTACATCGGGCATAGGCAACCTATCCTCAGTCGTGGGCCGTATTATGATTTAGGTATTTTTCTGCGGGCCAACCCACCAAAATTTATATCCTACCTAACCTAAAAGTAATGTTAATATTGTATTAGAACGGACAGTGAAGCAGTTTATCCTCACGTCGATCTTATGAAATTTTCAGTTTACATTGGTTTTTTTTCCCATTTATGAAAACAATCCACCATAGTAATTTTTGGGGTAATATGTTAAAGTTTCTTGTCATTTAACAGAAGATTGGCAAAACAGTCTGTGAATACGTGATTTTCCTACAATTACAGCATTTTTCTTATGAGAATAATGCCAATGTTAATCTTGGCAAATTAGGAACTACAATGAAACAACCTTCAGTATAGGTACATCTCTCTCTCTCTTTCTATATATATATATATATATATATATATATATATATATATATATATATATATATATATATATATATATATATATATATATATATATATATATATACACAGGTATATATACACACACACACAGTACTCGCCAACTATGGGTTTCTGTGGTGCGAAATTGGCATTTTTGTGTTATTGTGGAAGTAATTAATCAGTTAGACTCATTAAATTCAAATTCTGAGAGAAAAGTATATTTTGGTAAAAAAATTACCAAGACATGTACGGTAGCTAAATATTTTGGTAGTTTCGGCGAAAAATTAGATTTAGTTGAAAATCTCATTATAGGTACTCCTGACCATGCCGATTCTGAACCTATGGTCCACGATTCGATTGCGGGGTAATTAGTGGTCGTAATGACGCTCGGAATAATTTAATTACATTATTTCAATGCTAATTAAGCACCAACTATGGGTTTCCAAGGTGAGATTTTGGCGTTTTTGTGTTATTCCGGAAGTACTTTATTAACTAAGCCCTTTAAATTCCAATTCCACGAGAAAAGTATAGTTTGGCGGTTTTGGCCAAAAATTTGATTTAATTGAATATCGTCGTAACTGAGGTGTGATATAAGTTTTTTGTGTTATTCTGGAAGTAGTACTTAATTACGGTAGTTAAACCTTGTGTGACCACCGCCCGTGACCCCACTTGGACTTACCCAACCTTTGTTAATTTCCAAGTGACCCACTGCTATATAGCAGCTAATCCATCGTAGTTACTTACTCTTCGGCAATGAAATAGCAACGAATTGTGTGTGAAGATTACTCATTAAATAAATATTGCTTTACTCACCATAAATGGGATGCATCTACCTGAACTGCGGGCCACATTAAATAGAATTTCTCAATCACTCCACGGGCCACACAAACACATAGTCAGGGCCTGGGCTGCATGCCGTGGGTTGCCCATGCCAGCTTTAGATTATGAAGATCTCCACATGAAATGTAAAATCAATACATTGATTCTATTAACAACCATTACCCTGGGTGTGACCCCAAATACTTTGTTAAACCTGCAATGTTGCCATACAGTATTTTCCAAAGGAAAACAATGAGAAAAGGATTAATAGCCAAAGACAATAAGTCTATTATATATACCTGTACCGTATATAAAACTAAAACAGATTATGAATTTGTTAAACTTTAACCATACACAGAAAAGTCCTGTTATTCAACACACAGTTTTCCAAATACAGTACAGGTGCTCCTCTACCTACGAACAAGTTACGTCCCTGAGGTTTGTTCACAAGTCCAACTTTAATCCGGTAGATACCACAAATACATTATTGTAAAAAATAAAAAAAGTAAAGGATGTACGGTACTTTACAGCTATACCCTACAGTACAGCCTTTAAATTTAACATACTGTACTCTTCTCTTTGGCAATGTATACAGTATTCTATCAGGCATTTTCTTTCAATATAGAGTAATCCAGTTTCATCCGCATTAAACACCTGCTCTGGCAGGTAACCTTCCCCTTCAACCATGATGTTCGTAAGTCGAATGTCTCGGTCAGGTTACATTTCATGCACCTCACCTTGAAAGTCTGCGAGTAAGTACAAAAGACGCTTCAAACACACAGTACTGTGTAACCTATAATACAGTATAGTACAGTGGTCCCTCGGTTAACGAGCACAATCCGTTCCAGCAGGTTGCTCGTTAATCGAAAAACTCGTTAACCGAAACCATTGTTTCAATGGGTTTCTGGGTAATTGGTTCCAGCTCACCGAAAATTGCCTAAATTCAACAAAAAAGGTAGAAAAGTACACTTACTTTGAGGTGTGTATGTAGAAGGCTCCTGGATGATGATGATGATGATGATGAATTAGAATGGGGGTGGAGGAGAAGGAAGAAGAGAAGGCATTGGGGTGGAAGAGAAGTCACCCCATGGTGCCATTTCACTCATAAAAGTTTAGCTCTCTTGGTGTAATTCTAGATTATTTTCTTTAAATCAACACTGCACTGCATTATATATTGTCAATATGTAAAATATATTTCAAAATGACCAATAATTTGCTTGGAAACACAGAAAAAAGCGTTTAGTTGAAGAGAGTCTCAAGCACGATGTTACCTCCACTGAAAACAGAGAGAGACTAACGCCTGTCTGGTGTGTTAACAGGCTGGATGGCACGCCAGGAACTAGTTTCTTTACCTTCAATTATGTTCAATAATTGTTAAAATGACTAAAAAAGTTAATATTAAACTTTCAAAATTATTGAATAGTATAAACTTCTTGATATTTACTAAAATAGTAAGGAATTTAAGCCCTAAAACCGATTACTGTATTGGCGGACTAATACTACAGCTGGTGGACCACCAAATGCAAGCGAAAACATGTTGAAGTCGGCTCGTAAAAAACTCGTTAATCGAGGGATTGCTCGTTAACCGAAGTTAAGAATCTTATGGAAGGTAAATCGTTAACCGAAATCTCGTTAACCGAGGGACCACTGTATACTACCTACTCACCAACCAAAGACCCGCTGCTTATCTATGTATCCATAGAATAATTTACAATGAAATCTGGCCAAAAATGATCTTTTTTTTTTTACCTTATGTGTACTGATACACTTAAATTTGTTAGGAAAGTAATGACTGACAAATGATAAATCCCAATGAATGTGGCTAGTTTTGTAAATCCACTTCTTAAATCTCGCACAGTGATTAGTGAAATAAATGTCCATAAGGTATCAATCTTGTTTGTAATTTGATGTCATTAAATCTTTAATTCTGCTATTATGCTTGCACTTTGTGAAAAATATTTGCAATTTTATTCTGATTTATGAAAATGGCAACTGAGAAGTTGTATACAGTATACAGTATTAGATAATAACATTTCCCCAAATTTAGTACCTTACAAAAGGTTTATGGAGAAAGTCTCATATCTAATTTTTCAAGCTTACATGTCCCTAATAAAAACTGTGCTTGTTTTAATTTTTCACTGAAGGATGTGAAAACAAGGTCAATGCATTTCACAGTGTTTGTCTGTATCTGGCAAATTTACATTAAAGAGATTAATAAATAATTATTTATTGAATATTATAATATTCAATAAGTATATAATTTTGGTGTACAGGACTGTATGCACAGTGGTACCTCATTTTTTGTAGGGGTTAAGTTTCTGATATTTCCACTTAAGAGTAAAACTGCGAATACAGTACACTTTTCCGGATTTTTACTTTCCATGTAATATTCAATATTATAACCTTTAACCTATCACCGGTCATTTGTATGGCCCTAAAACTGTTTCTTATGATTTATAAACCTCTCTCTCCCTCTCACATATCATTAAATAACATGTAAAGACAACATAATAAAGACGCAAATAAAAATATAAATTATTTTATATACCTGTATTACATACTGTACCTAAAAAAATACAATGCACATGGAATACTGTACTGTACTCACCAGCCCAGTTATGTTGCTCTGTCCTTTTGATTTTCCCTCCCAACTCTCCCCCTGGTACATCACAGCAGATGTTGAAGAATAATGATGATGATTAATCTGTAGTGAACTGTTAATTCGTTCATCCTATATGACCAAGCTCATGTCGCTCTGAAGTTTCTTTATTATTTTAACTTTCTCAACTAAAGTCAACACTTTTCTATCTCTCTTAGGCTTCTTTTTTGTGTTACCGCCCTTGTCACAGCTTTTAGAAGGACATTTTTGAGCCATGGTGGGATTTTACGAGCACAAAACACACGAGTTCCAACGCTCTGCGGTAATGACGTCTGGCAGTTTCTTGCGGAAACTCATTCGTGCGTGCTATTCACCTGCATGTGAAAGCAGTAATACTCGTTACAATGAAAATATATTTCTGATAAAAATCCACAAGTAGTCGAAACCGCAAATAAAAAATCAGCAAAAAATTTGGGTGCACTGTACTGTATGTATACAGTATATACTGTAGGGTACTACAGGTTGTACCTCTCTAGTCCGGCATTCTGTGGTCCGGAAACTCCCTTGGTCCGGAACGATTTTAGTTTGTCCAATAGGTAGATAGGCAGCTTTTTTTTTGTTCTTTTTTTTTTATTTATCTGAATTATTATTATTATTATTATTATTATTATTATTAGAGGAGTATTAAATTTTTGCCCCTCAGGCCCCAATGTGGGTCAGCGACCTATGCCCGGGTGGGCTAATTCCCTTAAAAAAAAACAAAGCCGCGGGAAATTAAGGTTTGTTTACATCCGGCAGTTCGGCTGCTCTCTCTCTCTCTCTCTGCTTGTCTATACAGAGTACAACATTTAACCCTTCAATATATATATGAGCAGTAAATAAGTGTTGCTTTCATATACTTATGTAGAGTAATGACGATATGTTTTCACATGTGCGCACTTAAATACACGCAGTCTCACTTTTTTTTACCATTAATGGTTAGCTACTTATATTGTACCATTTATTAACATTAAATAACATTACAGGTACTTCAAACAACCATATTAATTTTTTTGCATTAATTTTACTACAGCTAAAATCAGGGTCTTATTTTCTTCAGTTTTATATGTAGAACCAATCAGTCACTGGTTTCGTAAGCTTTAACACACATACATTAATTCAATAAAACAAATTCAGAAACATTAATTAAAATATATAAGAACAATAAATAAGTGTTGCTTTCATATTCTTATGTAAAGTAATGACGATATGTTCTCATGTGTGCGTATGCGCACTTACATACACGATCTCTCTTTTTTCTTTACCATTATCGTTAGCTACTTCTATTGTTCCATTTATTAACATTAAATAACATTAGTTAAAACAACCATATTAATTTTACTACAGCTACAACCAAGGTCTTATTTTCTTCAGTTTTATATGTAGAACCAGTCAGTCACTGGTTTTGTAATCAACGAAAACAATGCTGTCTCATTTCTTCGTGTTTTAATATTCTACGTATTATTAATGAATTGTTTTGATCATTTTGCACACAAATATTAATTCAATAAAAAAGACATTCAGTCATAAACAATAATGAATCTTTTGTACATAAGAGAAATGACGCTGTTTACACGATTATGCACGTCGTCTGCACGTTGGCGGGCTGTTCAAACCTGTCGAAATTCAAGTTTCCGCCGTCAAAATTTTTATTTATTTTTTTTTGTGTTCCAATAAAATACGTTAAGAATTAAAAACTCGCGAAATTTGAGAAGCTACTATACGACATTTAACCCTTCAATATGTCTTCAAAGAGACCATGATGCAGAGAAAGTGGTGCTAGTGCTTCCAAGCATAAGCACAAGTCACTATCTATCCAGGAAAAGGGTGAATTTCCATGGTCCGGCAATTTCCATGGTCCGGCACCGGTCAGGTCCCGAGGTTGCCGGACTAGAGAGGTACAACCTGTACTGTAAATTATACATTACTGCTTCACTATGAATCTGAGTCCTGTTGCCCCCCCCTTTTTTGTATACACACACTTTGGCCAGCAGTGTACAGTACTTGACAAACTAGACTTCTCCATATGTAAAGTTAGGTACAACACTGCACTGAACTTATTAACAGCTGGGTTGATTGGGGGCATCCTAGACAAGAACCAGAGACTGTTCAGACAGGAGGTGAGCACTGTTCACTGAACCAAATATTATATAATAACACTCCTTCCAAGTAGCTTACTCTATCAATTAATCAATCTACCCCAGGTCCCATAAGGGTTGGATAAAAAGACCTTTACTGTGTATGATATGACATAATAAAAGAAGACATATTGCACCTTATTTACACAATTAATATTCAAACTGTTAATTCTTAACAAAAATAATGTTAAAAAAAGCTGATTACAGTATATTTCAATGTTGTCAACTGTGCATTTCATTCACTATCTGCTGAAAATAAATCCTGCATGGCAGCTATGGGTAAGACAAGAAGAGCATAGCTACTGAATGTGTGTGAACCTGAAGTCAATATACTCTCAGCTCCTGGAGCTAATGTCCAACCAGAGTTTTCCATTACAAAGCAATTGTTTCTCTTGTACACAGACCGATCACTTTTTCCTATAATTATTAAATGTCCATTTTTTGCCAATGCTGTTGTATTTATCTTGGCATCACCGGGGACACGAAGCTTAGACAATGGTGTCCAACCCATCTGAGAATCACAGAAGAAAGCTTCAGTCCCTGTCACCTTGACCGGACTCTGTACACTTGGACATTCAATTGGTCTGGCACCTCCAATGACAAAAATGTTTCCACCGTGAGTAACTGCTGTAGCATGGCTTCTACGTTCTTTGAGTGGGGGTCCAGCAACCCAAACCTGTTATATCCAAAAAATATAAGCATGTATTAATAAATATGGCATAAACATATGTGGGGACAAATGAGCAAACACAGACATATCGTACACAGTGCAGATAGTGTTCAAGGGAAGGAAACACAATATTTGTTACTGTAATAAAAAATACCAATAAACTGATGTACAGCTCCTCCCCCGACTTACGACCACCCGCACTTATGACCTGCCTCAGTCGTACCAAAATTTGGTCAAATTACGTATTTTCGAGTCCCAATGTCAGTACACAGACAAAATTTTCGTTTGTAATTCAATTTAAAGTGGTTGGCAAGCTTAAAAGTGAGTGTTCTGTGGTGCTGGGAAGAAAAAGAGACACCCATTTTAGATTTTCTATGTAATATTTTAGCATTTCCGACTGATGTCCATTTCGACTTACGACCTGGATGTCGGTCCCTAACCCATTATAATGAAGTACATATTAATTTATCTTTTGAGTTCTAAAGTACAGTCCAATAATATCTCCATTAGCTGGAATTCCTCTTAACCAGAGCTCTCATGAGAACCTTTGTTCCTCAAACAGTATTTCATCTTCTCTTCCCTTGCTTCTTTACTCTGTTTTTAATATCTTGGTGTACCTCTCCTCTTTCACTACTCCCAACATGCAACTGATGCTACCATATCCTTCTCTTCTCTTTGATTACAACCACCATACTACAGTACATACCTCTTCTTTAATACAGAAGGCTTCTACAGCATCTACTACCCTGTAAAATGGACTACCGTCTGGCAGCTCTTTCCATGGAGATCCTCCAATATAGTATATTTTCTCATCTGCCACAGCGACTGCTGCCCCTCGACGAACATTAGGTATGGGCGGCAGTGACCTCCATTTATTAGCATATATGTCAAATACATCTAAGTGTGGTATTTCAATTTCTTCCTGAAATTCAAAAGTGGTAGTAAAAGACAACAACAGTGATAGAAATTAATAAGTACATTGGCTATCTTATACATGAGGGTGTCACCAACTGTCTGTAATGATAAACAAAAATGTGTATAGAAAGGATAAAGTTGGCCTCAGCAAGATGGTAGAAAGTAAGAAGAAAGGCTAAAAGAACTTAAGACACATAGAAACCTGAAGAACAATCACTGAAAAAAAAGAAAGTTGCAGACTATATTATGGAGTACAGTACAGTGCTGTTTATGCATTCATCGAAAATAACCACAAATGGGGCACAGAACATCCCCAAAGATTTTCCTTCCACCAGTGATCCCTCAGACAAATGTGGCCATTCAGTCTTATATCCACATTTGCAACAAAAAATCACCCAACAAAATTGTAAATACAGAAAAAAAAGTAAAGGTATTTTAATACAATTTGCCATTCAAATAAAATAAAAAATAACTTACATCATTTTCATAACCCCCAATGAGGAAAATCTTTCCAGCATGAGCTACAACTCGTGGTGAGCAGTAAGGATCGGGCATCGGAGACATGAGAGTCCAGCTGTAAGACTCTGGATCATAGCGCTGAACATCACTCTGAAGCACTCTATCTCTGCTAATTCCACCCAGGGCAAAAAGATATCCACCTGAAGAGCAAATAAAATTTTCACTGTAAGCAATTATCCAGAACATTGAAGACTAATTTTCTAAATGATAGCTTAATGCAGGATATCAGTAAGTTAAATGTTATGAATGAAGCTTTGGACAATATTCAACATTTATGAATTATCCCATATATATTTGCAATACCTCCCAACATTACTTCTCCAATTATCCCCTGCATTACAATAATTCAGGTCACAGAAATTCGCCCTTATGAAATTTGTAAATTACAAACACAAAAGTTGGGAATGAAAAAGGTACCACAACCTTCTTACCTTCCACAACAAGTGATGGTTTCAGCCTAGGAAGACAAGGTGGTGGTAAACGCACATGGACACCTGCATGTTTTCCTGAACTGAGGATGTCTACCAGGAAAATATTGCCATCATCATCACTACAAGCCAACACTGTCTTCATGCCACGCTCTCTAATGGATCTAATTCTTCTCGTTTTCTTGAGTGCATCCAACACTCTCACTGCACCGGGTGAATCCCAAGGAGGATTAGCAGCCCGAAGATCTTGTAAAGCTCGCTGAAACTTTGGATCATAGTTCAGATCTGAAGACTCCCGCAAACAGCTGGTAACCAAAATTCTGTGAGATTAAAATAATTATGTGTAATAAATGTGTGTCATTGAAGAAACAACAGTAATTTAAGTTGTGATGGTATGTGTGTGTGTGTGAACGAGGTCTCAAAACCAGAAAAGGTTCAGCAAATACAGCTTTAATTTAAGTATGAGACAAGGAGTAAAGAAATTCAATGTGTGGTTGGGCCTAATAATATGGCTCAGCAAAATGGTCACTTTCAACAAAAACCAGACAAAATGAAGGCTAAAAAAGTACACACATACAATGAGAAGAAACTTGCTGTATCACCGCTGCCACACTACAGAACTTGCACTAAGAGCGAAGAGTGTCACCGAGCAAGTGTATATATTTGAAAACATATGTAAGTTAGCTTGGATTTATGATACCATTATAAAATGTACATATCAGTGGATGTGTACACAGTGGATGCTGACGATATATCGTAAACTTATCCATAATACCCTGAGCATTCTGTCGTCTTACAGGTCACTCACATAATTATTCTTGCATGATTAACAACTACACACGAGAAATTCAACGGCTGAAAAGTGTTGCCTTCAATCTTTGCTTCATTTAATCTAAAAATATGTATGTGTAACAAAACAGAAAAAAACCCTATTGGAGCACAATTTAGGATCAAGTACAAAGCTTATCTTATATCTTACTCAACATCTGGAGTTGACGTGAGGTTGGAATTGAGCCACACCACAAGTGCAGTAAGGATATCCACCTCTGACTTTACCATAAGGCCATCTTGACACAAAAGGTCCTTCAAACGCTTCTCACTCAGGTTACGGAACTCTTCAGTACGTACTATTTGTCTGCAATAAAAAGAACTACATGCAGAAATTGGAATAGGTAATTAGGTTTGATAAATAATATTCATAATTTACAGGTGAAAACACTTTATGTACAGTAATATATTCAGAGAGAGCAACTCACACATATAGTGTAGCAACAGACCTGTGCCTGAAATGTTCGTATATGAAGTCTTGAGCAAAGTGAACAAGTCGTGGGCAGGTGAATTGCTGAGCAAATTGAAGTATTCCCAAACAGTTGTCCACATCAATTCTGTTCATCAAGAACTCAATGCACAATTCCTTTAAACAAAAATAAATAAATACCGGTAAATAAAAGTGTATTTATACAAATACATCTTTGGGAAGACTTATTAGTAAATTATAGAATACAGTACTGCATATCCAGTATACCTGCAAATGAATCTTAGCTGTCACACGAAAGAGAGTCATTTCTCGACCAATCTCTGTCGCACACATAAATGAAAATATGCCGCCACGAGCATCATTCATTCATTCTCTCTCTTGCACCTCATATTTCACTCTCCAGCATCTTCACAGAGCATCTCTCTGCTCTCAACAGCCTGTGTGTAGGTCTCTCTTAACTATTCTGGTGCATCATTTCTGTCTCATATCTGCTACCTATGGAGAAGTCCTTTTAATGTCTTTTCTTTTATACTGTACTATATAAATGAAATCTTAATATTTCCCTTATACAGTAACCTCCCCATTAGCTGGAACAATTGGTGCAGAGCATTTCCAGGTTTTAAATCATATACCGACACACTTCTTCATAAGAATTTTTAATAGCAATTTCTAAAGCTCTCCATACAATCTATAAAAATTAAAGATTGATCCTGAAATCCCATTTTTTTACTGAGTCCAGACTAAAATACTTTAGTATTATTCCACCAAATCCAAAAGGTTTATTACCCAGGAAACCCTTAGCTAGTGTAGTGGTGATTGGGACTAATTCATTAATTATTCATGCCCTCCCCATGAAACTTAGGCACACAAAAAGAGGCCTTAGAAACTGTAGTCAGCACGTAAGGTCAATTGCAATGATTCGTGATGTCACATCTGCTTTGCAAATCTCACATATCACCTATCATCGGCCATAACTGATTGGGTAAAATATCTGGAGTGGCAACATGTGGCTACTTGATGCCAAAATTGAAAATCATAAGCTATGAGTATAAGATTGTTCCTGTTTCACATGGCTTCATAGCTACCCTTTGGGATGTAGGAGGAAGGGGGAGGAGAGTAATTAAGTCTAGTCTAGACTTAAGTCACCAATGCATATTGTACAGTAGTGTCACCATCATGACTCACCTCTTCATCCAGGTTCCTTTCACAAGTCCAGTCTTACATTTCTCTTTTTCACATGCTTTTATCCCTTATCATCTTATCTACTTTCAAAAATGATTGATTAACAGAGTTTAATAATAACTAAGTATTTATAACAATGTACCAAAGCACATTGCCAAGAACAAAAAGATGAACCCACCTTTAGATCTGACATCAGGAGGAGGTCACTTGCTTGTAAGATGTCTTGAATATTATCATTGTCTAGGACGACTTTACCCGTGTATATAAAATTCAGTATGAGCTCAAATGTTTTGCAACTAATCTCCAACTTTGGCTCAGTTGTGGAGGAGCCATGATGCACTTCCTCCTCAAACTCATAGAGAACCCTACAGGTAGAAATCCAACATTTAAATTAAAAATGTATTACAAATACAAAACACAGAGGCAGACATGTAAAAGATTTATACTAATGAAAGGTACTGTAATTGCCACACATTTATTTACTCAACAGTCTATCAGTTTAGCATTTGAGTCGATATCCTTTAAAAATACAGTACTACAGTACCAAGTTGTAATCTTTTATTGTCCTTTGGTCTGCAATTTCATGCCAGTTGTCAAGTAGCTTACCCTTGAGTGTCCTTACTGTTGGATGACGTATAACTTTTAAACTAAGGTAACAATAGACTGTTCCTTACAGAAATGTCATACTCGGCCCCGCCCAGGAATTTGACGTACAGTTATGTGATTGGATAATGTGGCAATGTCCTTTGTGGAAGTAAATTTTTGGTCAATCTACAACACTTTATTATTTGTCTTCTAACTGGCCAAGCACAGGCCAAGATGAGAGAAAGGGGGAGGGGTTATTTGACATTTCTAAAATGAACAGACTAACGATGGTTCGGGGCAAATAAATTTTTTTTTTAGAATTCACGCAACCAAAATACAAAAGCCAAGTCCAGCCGAATAACTTCATTTCACTGACCTATCATGCTGATGAATTTTCAAGTCAGACATGTAGTCACCCACAAAAGTCCTGTTGCATTATTCAGCTCATAAATGTTTAGGATTCAGGAGTCTGAATTTTGGGGTTTGTGGGTCAGGAGGAAAGGTGACAGGACTTTAGTGGGTGACTGTACTATCATTTCTAGTAAGAGTGGGATGTGCCTGTTTATTTTTCTTCTAACAGCCTTAACCTCAACCCCCCTAGCTCTTCCTAACTCTCTCTATTCTACTCTACTCTTTTGGTGAGGCTTCTTCCCACAACGAATTTAAATTTGCATCCAAGAACAACCATGGTCAGACACTGAGTAAAACAAACAACAATCCAGAAGGCTTAAAAGTGAGTGGAAATAAATTTAAATCAGAACTTTAAGTACAGTACAGTATAAGGATATTACAGTACTGTATTATGAAGACAAGAAATATGAAAATGTTTACAGGAACATAAAAAGGCCATAAAGGCATAAATAGCATTAATGGAGAAGATGTATATATTAGGTAGTTGTGTAAAGTGATACTGGGTGGTGTCAGAGTTCTGTTAGTCAAGTTTAATGCTAAACCTATATACTGTATTCAGCAATAATTTAGGGTTATGGTCCAATAAACAAGAGTGACAATGAGGTCAAGACTATTGTACTGTATAGGTGAGGAACATGGATACTTTCAGGAAACACTAAAAGAAAGTACAGGTACTGTACTATAAGAAAATGCTGAAGCTGTACTGATAGAAAAACAAATGAAGTACAGTACTAAAACTGATTAGAGCAACAAGAGATACTGTAAATATATAAAATATTAAGTTAAAATACAGTATTTTGGCCACATAATTAGGAGTGAAGGGATAATGGCAGGGGTAATAATGGATAAAACTCCGGGAAACAGGTCTAGGTAAAGGCAAAAACCGGGAAGGATGAGTGACCTCAACACGTCGGCCTCTCTAGAGTTATACAAAATCTGAAATTGGTAGACAGCCTCAAAATGTTTGCTGTGGAGAAACATGGTTGTCAGCACCTGGATTGATTGCTTAGCTGTATTTACATGAACATGCTTTTAACACATTTTTTTTTTCAATATGACTGAAATCTGGTTGTAGGGCAAAAATGAAAACTATGATAAATAAATAGTAACAACAATGATTAAGTGCTCAATAATTTTCTAAACAAATTTCAGCACTAGCTTACTCTAAACCTATTTTGTTTCAAAGTAAATCTTTATCTTGGCTGATTTGCTCACTTTCTACCAGATAACTTTTAACCAATGAACACATTATGCTTAAAAGTGTAGGTAGTTATATACTTTGTCCATACATCTAGCAGAATACATTGCTGGTATACAAATAAAATATTTGGTAAAAATCTTAACTAATTATTAGTTTAGTATAACAAGTCTATAAAAATGGAGGAATGCAGCACCTCAAGTGTGGAAAAATCTTTCCATGGAACTTCAGGGGAAACAAACACACATTCCAATAATTGAAAGGCAGAAAGGAGCACAATTGTGTGATAGAGAGCTGTAAGAATTAAGTGTCCTTTCAGTATCATAAAACCCCTTTCTCTGCAGAGTAGAGCTGCTAAACACAAAGATGCCCCAGCCCTGATTTTCCATATTGACAATGCAGCACCAGAGGTGACTTAACTTACTCTTACAGTATCCTTTCATGATGTAATTTTCTTATAACTCTTGGGGTTCCCCCTTTCTACTTACCTTTTTAGCCATTTTCAGGCTCCCTATATAATTTAAAAATAATTAATACACATAATACTTACTAACTGTGGCAGTATTCATTAACTTTATGGTTATTTATACTTAGTCTAGAGCATGTAATGCGAAATGCTTCCCGTACCCTACAAAAAACCGTCATGAACAATTCTTTAACAAAGGTTTAACGTTTCTAATGGCTCTACAAATCTTGAAAACTAGGGGATCTTTAGTACTGTACCAGCAACCTCTTGGAAAGATTATGCAAGTGTCAACTTGCTTTAACTTTGGAGTGTAGTATGGCTGTTATGGACAAGCATAAAGGTGTGGTAAGCATACTGGGTATATACTGTACAAGTATTAAATTATGTAGTTTGTGTGATTAAGTGAGAAGAGGCACAGTCATGTATAAATTAACCTTTGTAGTCTTATGATTTATATGGAGTGCTTTATGTAAAATTTAATTTAAACATTTCATGTACAATCTTTGAAATTTTCTGGGATCATTCCTGTAACATTAAATCTGCAGATGAATATGCCATTGAATTGTTTATCCTTTTTCTGAATCCCTCTGATATCAGCCATGGCTGGGATTTAATTTTTGGCCAGAATTTGCCTAATTACAATAATGATTCTGCATGCCCATAGAATCAAAGACACAAAAGGACATAGAAATCTCACTAAATTTAACCTTTTTTTAAGAATATGAGCCTGAAGAAATTTAAAAACACTCACTTTTCTTTGGTCACTTTCACCCTTTCCCCTGAGGTAATTACTACATTGATTATTTTGCCTATGTGATGCTGGGTAAGTGACCAAGCAGTGGGTAGCAACGGTTCTCCCAATACTCTCCACAAAGTTTTTGCCTTTACATGATCAGTTTGACAGACCTGACATGTAAAAAGAGTAAAAACACCGACAGTACACTTTATTTGGGTAATCAGTATTAGGAATGACCTTATTGATACTTGAGTACTAATAAAAATCAATCTGAAAACATAAAAACACCTTAATTATGTTTGTGGAACACTTACTGGAACAACATATCCACTAAGGTAATCCAATGGCAAATTTGGAAAAGCTGATGAGATTTCATTGCTCTACCCGGGATACTTTTTGCATGATTATTAAAAAAGACTTGGATGGGGCAGAGGAAAAGGGGGGGCTTATCTCCTGTACTAATAAATGTCCAAGTGTTCAACCTTGGTTTACAGCCCAGGAGTCATGGCAATAATTCATGCATCACCTAATTCAGGATATCAGCCATATATCTTGAAGTGTTAACAGTTAGAGCATCCCTGTAAATGGTACAGTATACAGTACAGTATATTTTTGGTAGTCTATTAATCTGTTTCTCCAGTTTTTGAAGCCCAGTCCAGGAATTCTCAAATAGGGAAGATATTTCAATGGGACTACACAAATGATTAACATAAAAAACGTGTTTACTAGATTCATTCTAATTCACCCAATATTACATATTTTTTGCTTTCAGGGTGCATCAATTAATTTTACATCAGTAGTGTTGCAGAACTAAGTTTGATATTATAATCCCAGATAATTAAACTGTTTCAGTAACATTAAATCAATATGTGTCCAAATGTAGAGTACATATGCCAAGACAATGCCCAAAAATGAATACAGTATAGACTTCAGCGCCTCACAAACTATGTGTATCTACTTCTGCTCATCTCCAAAATGAAGGGATGAAGCTTGGAATCCCAGAAAATAGTCAAAAGTATGAGACAAAAGCCTTGTGAGATTTCAACAGCTAAAACACCTCCTGCAGAGAAATTCCTCTCATATCAAACCTGTGTCAAATAAATGCTTGGAACTCCTAGTACCATAGTTGTCTTGAAAGCCAATGAGGTTTCAGGTTTGCAGGGATGAATTCTACTGGGAAGATTTATTTGAACTTTGATACCTTATACTGTACAGCCAAGTAAAAGGAATCAATGCTTCCAATCCATTTTTCCCTGTCAAACAAGAAAGGAGTAAAATTTGGTTATTTGTCTCATGTCCTTGTGTGTCATTCCACCATTTACAACCTGCGAGTCACACAGGATGCTTTATAAGACTTTATACACTAAAAGAATTTTGTGCTCTCTGTGGGGAAAATAAAGAAAGGATTACGAAGACAGACTCCTAGGACGTTAAAGCCTTGTTGCTATTTGATAATGCACCCAGATTACCAAGCCAATGAAGAACTGTGCAGCAGGATAGAAGAATAAGGACCATTTTCATACCACAAAACACAACTTCCATGACCTAACTGATAGAGCTGAGGGCCATCAAGTCTTGCAGAAGACCGTATAAAAGAAAAAGCAACTGAACCAGTGCTATGTTTTAGTTACTGCCACAGTTGAGGAGAAGGAATTTTGGGTAGCTCACACCCTGGTAAATCTATCTATATATAGAATCAAGGAAACACTTTCAAATGGGCTGACAGCTGGAACAGTGAGCCACTACTGACCCTGCAGCATGGCTGGAACAAACTCCTTCAGATACCTGAGGTACAATGTAACTGAAGGTTTTGAGGCAAAAGACTGTGCATATGTTGCTCTATGTTAGGAAAAATGTGGAAGCTGTTGAGGCAGAAGATTGCTTAAAAGATGCTGAGATCCATGAAGTCTCGTTCACTGATACAAAGGGAGCACAGAATACTCTCAAAAGAAAGGACCAAAAAACTCATTGATCACTTGTAACTGCTGGACTGAAATCTGCAGCAAATTATCCACACAAGTTAGGAATAATTTTGATGAAGTGAAACAAAAGATTTGAGCTAAGGGGGTGGCAGAGACAAAAGAGCAATTTCACTCCCAATCATCAAATATTAAGACTCATCTGATGTGTGTAACGTTCCTGAACCCATAGCTCCAAGGAATGCCAGTCCCTTATTCTGACATACCATAACACATCCACTAAGGTCATCATCCTCATCATCAATGTTTTACAGCCATTTTCCATGCTTGAGTGGGTCAGCTGCAATTACCTGATGGGAACTGTTGGGTAACACTAGAACAGGATATTCTCCCCCCAGCTAACCACGGCAGACCAGGGGCACCAGCCCAGTAAATGCAGCAGAGGCCAGAAGATGGGCACAATTCTGGTGACCTGGTTGCCACAAATCTTGAAGTAGTTTTACAGCTGGATGCCCTTTAAAATGACAACCCACTGGGTGGGAACGGCTGACGAGGCAGGGTTGCAGGGTCATATCCAAAGTAATATTACCATTGGAACAGAGAACAAAGCCAAGGGACTGATATATCACACCATTTTCTTTAAATTACATAGCATGAAAAGACTGAACACAAAAACCACCAAGAAAATACAATGGGTAAGTGTGAAAATAACTCTTATTCCTTCATGATGATCTACATTCTACAGTACTATAAAAGTGGCAGGGAGCTTCCTAAAATAGATGGATGATCTGGTGGTGGCACAATTAAATTTCCCTTAGACAAGTCAAAGCCTTCTGGATGCAGCATACTGTCATGGGGTGTTCTAGCTGGTGTAATCTCAAAGGTTACTTGTCAGTAACCCATTGGCTATAAAACCTTGTACAGTACACTCTATTAAAGCAGGATGGTACATGCAAAATCTTTACCAAGCACTGGTTATTGAATACAGTATCACAAAAGATCTAGCATCCAAAAGCTATCACCAATATTTGAAATACTTGCCAAAAACATCTGCAGCTGTGTTCTTAGTGCTGTAAGAAATTAAAATAAAGATGATACCCTCAGCAGATGGGGCACTCAACATACAGTACAGTACATGTGAAAAGATGAGTACAAACCAGAATGAAGAAAAAAAAATAGTGAAGGCTTAACTCTGCAATCCCATTTCATGGACAAGCCCATAACTGAGGAACTTGCACATACAGGGGTCCCCGTTATCCGAGTCATCGATATCTGCGGTTTTGCATTTACGAGGCCAAATTATTGCTGAACTATACATAATAAGTCCCCGCACTTATAAGGATTATGAGGAATAATATCTGTGGAGCACTGAAGTCTCGACAGAGAATGCTTCAAATTTCCCACTACAGTATACTGCCGCACACCCTCCAACCCCCATCACGCTCATCCCCCATGCAGTGCAATTCCTTTTATCTTAACTCCTCTGAACCAATGATGGTTCGGATACCTGGACGAGCCAACAAGAACATGCAATAATTAACGTTAGGTTCAAATTTAGTTTAGTGATAGCGTGACTCAATGGGAAAGGGAAAAAACTGGAGATGAGGTGGCTTGTGAGATGTCATGTTGTAATTGTTACAAGTAACAAAACTATAAATGTTATGGAATATTCATTACAATACTCTAATGTGGCTTAGAAAAAAAAAATGAAGAGCATGGTTGTGTATGTGCGTGAGGTGAATGTATATGTGGGGTCATGGAGGCAGTGGGCTGTAACTGTGCTCAACTCGCCACTCACCTAGCCAGTGCTCCCCCCCCCCGATGTGATGTCACAGCATACACACACGTCTCAGATTGGAGTCAGCTGGGTGACTGCCCATTGTAAACAGTGTCTAATCTCCTGTGGTTTTCTGTTGTTTTTCATGTGCATTCTTGGAATATCATTGTTTTTTCTTTTTAGCCAAGAGTTCAAAGCAAAGTGCTAGTGTTAAACTAAGTGCCGACCCTAAAAGGTAGCGCAGCAACCCTGGACTTGATATGACTTAGATGTTATTCGTCGGAAGAAAGGTGGTGAGCGTGTGATTCACTCTTAAGTGGAGATTTTCCGGTGCCTAATAGCACTATGTCCATGGGCTAGAAATCCAGGTGCACTCTGAGACACTGGTGAATGAGAGTAATGCAGGAGTAAGTTATGCCTACCCATCACAACTAAGTCATTGAAAGGGATCTTTAGAAGCAAGTCACATCACACCAATATGTGCACACACTGTATATTAACTGTTAGCCATATTAGAATTCCAAGATTTAATACAATACATTCAGCTCCAGCTGACTTCCACTGGAAGGAAGATGGATAAGTGAGTCCCTTAGTTACAGCCCTAGACATAAAATGGGGTTTTGGATTAATCTTTCATTTATGGCCTTTGTCCTCCACTAGGAGACTAGTGTGCCTGAAGCTTGCAAAAAGATGGGGAGGTGTAGGCTGCAATTGAAGGTTCTTTGTAAATTTTCATATACAGTGGGGTATGCTATAACGAATCTAATTGGTTCTAGAACCTTGTTCGTTATAGCATTCGTTCGTTATAGGATTAATCCGTTCCGGGCCCCCAAATACAACCACTTAACACTGAAAAATATAATATAAAATTGAAAAAATTGTAAAAAGGTGCATAAATATGCATCTAAACCCCTGAAATAAAGAATACCGGTATCATTAATACTTGTAATAAAAAAACAATAAATTAGTAAAAAAAAAAAAAAATATCGTTGTAGGAGTTTCGTTTGTTATAGCATTCTCAATTTTATAGGTAAAACCGTTCGCTATAGGAATATTCGTAGTAGAATCCATTCCTTATAGCATACCCCACTGTATGTAAATATTGACTCATTTTCATATTTTCTTTATATCTGAATTACTAATTTACATCTTTTGTTCACAACAAAACATGAGAGAGAGAAACTTACTCCTTATTTTGAGTAAGAGTAAAGGATACTTATGGCGTACTGTGTAATAATAATAATAATAATAATAATTAACGGTTTATTGTGTGTGTGTGTGTGTGTGTGTGTGTGTGTGTGTGTGTGTGTGTCGTATCTCCCCTACCCTCAAGGGGAGGGGTGGTGGCTGACTGTCCTTACATTATCTCCAATGCATGTTGTTTATTTATTTTTTTCTCTGGTTTTGTTCTATCATACTTGAATACTTATTCTGTGAAAATATTATGAAGTGAAAGTTTGATGTACACCTCTTACAGATGCTTTTCACATTACTGTAACATTCTTTCTTGTATTTTTCATTCACTGTAAAATGCAAATGCTGATAACCTTGTGATAGAATTACTGCACAATAAAAGAAATTTATTTTTATATAATCTACATGTACCAAAATTACCTAGAAAGATGTACCGGTAGTTTATAGTAAAAGGATATATAAAAGAAAATGTGAAACCTACATAGTAAAATTATGAGTCTAGTCGGAATCTATCTCATCATACGTCTGGCATACGTGGGGCATATAAATTGAATGTTTCATATGTTGTGTTATATACCATTTTATTCAGAAAATTGTGCTTGATTTTGGGGCAAATTTTAAACAAAAAATTTCTGAATTTCCTAAAACCCCAGTTGGGGGGGCAGCAAAAACTCCACCCCCCCCCCCCCGAGGCAAAAGGGTTAAATCCCATTTTAGTATTTTATACATTATTTTAATTGTTATATTGTATTCTATATACTAACACTATAATCATGAAAAAAATGCATTTTATATTCTTAATACCAAGTAGCTATGAATCTCAAACACAAATAACTACAGTATCATGAGGACTGCAGAAACCTAACCTCATGAACCAGGTCTCATTGTATTCAGAAACACAAGTACAGTTAAGTACTTAAATAGTACTGTATCAACAATAAAAATTAAGAATTTCAAAGAAACTTTCAATTTAAAATATTTATTTAGATATTAGCCATGAAAGCACAAGTATGCATACAGGTACAGTAGTTACTGTATATTGCTTTCAACTTAATAACAGTACCATAATACCTGTACTGTATATGTCTTTACTCTAGACACAGAATCAAAGTTTTGCTTGTGCAGGCTAAACCTCACTAATCCAGGAAGCTTGGGACCAGACCGGTTCCGGATTAATGAAAAATTCGAACCATTGAAGCCGAGGTTAAAAAAAGGCAAAATAATGCACAAAATGTACTATTACTGGTACCAATACAACTTACATTACCATAAATCTAGCCCAGGTTTACTAGACCTCTTTATGACAAAGTGTTAGTGCTATGTCACAAGTTTACTGGACTGTGGTGCCGCAATTGGTCAAGCAGCAGTCTTGGAAACTTAACGACAGTCATATTCAAATACCGCCCCAAACCACCGAAGCTGCTGGACTATCTGGTCCCGGATTAGCGAGGTCCAGTACAGTAAGGTAGCTATCAATGCACTCGGTAAATATGGCAAATTTCATCTTAGTACAATATAGGTTATAGGAATATAATAAAGATCTTACTTGAAATATGGACATCCAGCAGCTAGGAGAGCTTTGCTAATTTTCACAGTTCCATCAGTGAGCTTCACTGTGCCATCACACAGAGCAGTAAAATGGCGGAACAATGAAAGTTCTTTTAGTACTCTTGACGCATGTAATGATCCACTTGAAAATTCTTGACGGTCCATTTTGTCAGCTCTTAGTCATTCCTAAAATCACTTTGAAGGGATTTTGTGCAAAGCAGCTTTATAACTCTGTAAAGAAAATGCAGTTCATTACTATTTACCTGAAAAAATTATAATAGACGACACAATTCATAACTGTTTATGTAGCTACCCATCTTATTGTAATAACTACTGGTGTACAGTAAGAGTATAACCATTTTCTTTAGTGCCACATTTCATGTTTATGAATGAGCTATTAACCAAGGGTAATTTTCTTTTCCTACAGGTATACACCCTCAAATCCAGGACTGAATTTGTTAATGACAAGGAACGAAATTGAACAACGCCTTCTGGTGTTAGCCATCTCGGTTAATATTCGTCCATTAGCTGTCCACAGGCTTCCAATTTTCAATATTACAGACACAAAGACTATAAAAAGCCAAACATACAACTTCATATCATTTCTTGTGCAAATCAATATTAATGGAGTATCTCACAAATTTCTAGGCATAAATTTCTGTACTCGCCATGTTGCCAGTCACTTTTCTCGTCCTCTCCTCCTCCTCTTTGCGACATGACAACCAATGAACCTCAAGTATCGTGTCATGTGACTTGGCTGGCCAGTCATTTTGAAGCAGCCATTTTGAAGGCTCACGGCGTGCGAAAAGTGCTCTCTCCCTTATCGAGCTGTTATTCAGCGAGTTTATCGGAACAATAGTGAAGGAATCCAAATATTACAAGATCACGGAATCTCCCAACATCAAGACTGTGTCCTATGTGTGGAAATTGTTCACTTTCAAGAAAAGAAAAATTCTTTTGTCTGTAACCATAAGCGTACCAGATCGTCCAGCTATATTCTCCACCACAGTAGCAGGTAAGTTCCAAAAAATGGTTAGGTTAGGTTTTTATTTATTTGGGGTGTTTTATGGCATTTTACTCAAACCTGACAGCCATTTTGGTTCAAATTAGCTGTTTCTGCTACAAATGAAAACTTTTATTTTTTATTTTTTAAACTGCTAATTTACACCAGAAATAAAGGTCAGATTTGAATAAAACACACCTTAATATACACCCCCCTAACCAAAAAAAAAACTATTTTTTGTATCAAAACCTGAGGACAGCCACTGGACGAATTTTTGCTGCCATTTCCTCCAGGATTACCAATTACGATATTATTTCAATACCGATATGTAGGCTATGACAACTGCTAAATTACCAGACCTGGTGTATTATGGTATCTGGCAGAGCGTTTATAGATACCTTGTTAAATGGCAGGCGTCAGATGCAAGATATGTTGAACCTACTGCCTTATTATACGACTTTACCTAAAAATATGATGACAAAGAGACTGAATGAGCTCAGGCTACTATACCCCCAAGCTAACGAGCCAATCAGTGGTGAAGAGGATAGATGAAAGAAAAAGAAAGAAAAGGTGTGTGAAAACTCGGTCACCGCCTTTTAAAACAAAGCTTTTTATCTTCTCTATGTATACTGACACAAACAAACCAACAAGACAAAGTGACAACAATAAAAAAAAATAGATACAACACCTCCTTACTGACTGCCTCTCTACACCTGCGTTATAACTTTGTCTATTCGTTAATTTAGAGGAAGACTGGACACTAGGGGCCTTATATCTTCATCCAGATAATATATAATTAACTTAAAATAAATTATCATAACTTAGACACTTACCTCACTTTGTTTTGGTTCGTCTGTCTGTCAGTCTGTGAACACCTGGGGCTGTTCTTGTTATGATCCAGCAGAAGGTGTTTACTGTGGTCATCCTCCTGGGAAAACTATACATGATGCCACTTGTTTTTTCATTACTACTGCAATATTGTATAATTTTCATTGCCATTTCTCAACTTATTTTGTACTAACACGGTCAATTTTCTTGATAGTGTAGTTATTTTCCCTTGCTTTACGTAAAAAATTTCGGCTTTAAGTTGTTTCCTACTACAGGTATATATTCCTTTGGTTCAAACCGGGATGGATATTGTTTTTTGCCAAAGAATATAAATGAAAACTGATAACTAAATGTACTCAGTGTTTACCTTAAATGTAATAATGATCACTTAACAGGTATAACAATCATTACTTAGTTAATCTGTTATAATCAGTGATCTTATTTATTGGCCTTATTTGCAGTAAATAAGGTCAATAAATAATGGCAACCACTGGAGTTGACTATGCCGAGGGAAGGAGGCCGTAGGCAAACTGGTCTGTCTTTCATTTACAGGTTTTAAAGAGAATATTAAAATCATACAACAATGGATAGCATCTACTTAATAATACTGTTCATGTAATAGAAAACACTACACAGACGGATTATTCATCTGGTTGTAACACTTTTATCGCCTTTCGTGCAATGCCAATACAGCCTATATAATAGAAGAAGTCTCATGACCTCTTCTAGTTTATCTGATACACCGAACCGATATTACATGGTGGTCGCGGAGTCATGTATTCCATAACTAAAGGGTCATATTATTTACGGAAAAAAAAGAGGTATAATACAAAGAAAAAGTAAAAGAATAATTGTCTCTCCCTGTCTACCTAACACTCCAGATAATATCACAAGGTGGCCGCGGGGTTAAGCATTCCACGAGGCTGGAGTCATTTACGTTTACAAAAAGGTGGTGGACTGTCGGTTGCATCACTTGTTCTTACTCTACCAGATGTCAAGGCGGTTGTTCAGGTTAGGTCCTCATAGGCCCCAGAGTATCTTAACCTAGTCATTCAAGATTGGGGCCTATTAGAACTGGGGTGGTTAGGTTAGCAAAAAAAAAAAAACAATTATGAAAGGAAGAATGAATGAAACGAAGGAGGGTGAGGAGGAGGCAAGTTAGACAAGGAAGAATAAAATATACTGATAGAGAAGAGAGGAGCATCCAATTCTCTAGGTTTCTATTTTACATCTCTAACTATTTCTATATACTGCCAATCATTTAATTTACCCATCAATCCTTTTCTCTATCTGTCTTTTAACCTCCTAGAGTGTAATAGTAACCAGAGTATGATAATAACAAGAGTATGATAATAACAAGAGTATGATAATAACAAGAGTATGATAATAACAAGAGTATGATAATAACAAGAGTATGATAATAACAAGAGTATGATAATAACACGAGTATGATAATAACAAGAGTATGATAATAACAAGAGTATGATAATAACTAGAGTTTAATAACAACCAGGGTATAATAACAACCAGAAAATCAACACAAGAGTCCTGAATGACTTACACTCTTACAGTGCCTCAGTTCATCTCCCTCGCACAATATTTTCTTCTCTTGTTTTTATATCTGATGTAAAAGTTTTTGTCTCGTGACCAATCAGAGCGGGGCGCCCTCTGTGTCTCTGGGACCGCCCGCCACACATCGCCTGGGGATGCTCCAAATACCTTAACGAAACACCAAGTCCAGATTATTGATTAAATCTGATCGAATCTCTTGAACAAATAACAATCACCAGAATATTTTTTTTTTGTCTGAAATCTATCCAAATGTTATGAGATTTATATTCCGATTAGAAGCCGAATTGTGGTTCCAGCAACGGTTGATGATTGTGACTTAGATCATACGGATTGGCTGATCGCTGTATATGGGAGCTATATTATACAAACAGCAATAATATGAATCTGTCAATATTCACCACAGCGTCTCGTATCATGGAACCCTTCAAGGTGCTGTAACAGATCCTGAAGACTCAAGAATCATGAAAATTAGAGATGATATGATGGACATGTTAGTATTTCTCCACTCGTGTGACCCGCCTCGCCTCGGCTTCATGTCCAGTCATCCAAGACACTGAACCCAGGGATAGACTTAACAAAAAAACCAATCAATGTGGAAAAGACAGACAGACAGACAAGTGGAAAGACAGATGGATGAGCAGACAGAAAAGGCAGACAGAGAGAAAGAAGAGACAGGCAAATTAGAAAATAGACAAATGAACAGGCAGACAGACAGACACACAGGAAGCAGTCTTCATATGGACACGCCAAGAAATTGGAAGAGAAAAAATACGTCACACTTCAGAATTTCTCCCCAAGACTACTGAAAAAAAATAATTTAATAACAATCTTCAACACTTAATATTATCCCATGATCCTACGGATAAAAAAAAAGTCTGAGAGAGAGAGAGAGAATCACAGTCGTCAGGATCCCGCTCGAGGTCTTCACGTATCTGTAATTCATGACAAGGTTCCGGTGTGTTGGGAGTGAGAGGCCGAGGGGCGACGGTCATGCTTACAGGTTGTAGGGAATTTCCTGGTAGTGTGGAGGAGTTGTGATAGATGATGGTCCCTCCACCTGACCCTCGACAGGAGGCGTGACGCTGGCTGCTGTGCTACTGTTGGTACTATTGCTGTTGTCATCACTGTTGTTAGTTTCTGTTGCTGTTGCTACTTGTAATTACTTCTACTATTGTTGTTCCTGATATGTTTCTGCTGTTCCTGGTGTTGCTGCAACTGCTGTCCTCTTAGACTGAGACACACTCTTGCCCCCCCACCCCGAACACCTGCTCACACCTGGTGTGGCCGCCCAGGAGAGCAGGACACATGTTTACATACTCAGTTAAGATATTCGAAGCCCAGGGCGACATACAGGTTATATAAACTCCAACAAACACACTGTACACCCACCTTCACCCACTGACTAGTTTTGTTCTGGGCTCCGCTGTTATTGGCTTATGTATGTACAGTAAATCTTTAATTCCAGACAGGAAGACTTTGCACATATAGCTAACTGGGGTACATCCAACCTGATTCCCCTCAATACTACTAAGACAAAATAGATATCATTCAGCAACAAGCGAGATACTACACAAGTCAACATAAATATTGACACTACTATCATCACAGAGTATTGATATTTTAGGCATCATTCTTATTTTAAGTCTTACCATGAAAGACTTTATCAGAGATTGAAAAGCAAACTGCGAGTGAACAGTTAGCAATCATTTATGTAAGTCACGTGTGCTTCTAGATGGAATATTGCTGTTATTTGTGGTCTGGGTGTGGTGTTAAAGCACTTCGCCTCCTCAATTGGTGCAGAACAAAAAAAGCCCTAGAGACAATCAACAATAATAACCTTCCCTTCCAACACGGCACAAATCATCCCTAATGTTGCTGCTTCATATATTTCAGTCTTTGGAAATGGAAGGCCACGGTTTATATTCAACAACAACAACAACATATATATCTGATCTCTTCCTGAACCAATTACGTGTTAAAAATATATAACGTCAGGTTACATATGTCCGGTTTCTTTAATTCAGTTCCACGATTTCATATTGGCGGGTTAAGGAAAACGGACTCAAGTGTTGTTTTGAATAGAGGTGTTTATGACCGTAGACTTAAGTAAATATGGTGAAGGAAACTGAAACTGTCTCTTTAAACAGGAAAAAATACAAATAAAAACTGTACAATAAAAATTATATACATGAGTGAGTTTCATGATAACTACAAAATATATAAGAAGTATTAGCTCTCTCTCTCTCTCTCCCCCCCTCTCTCTCTCTCTGTCTTTTTCGCTCTCCTCTGATGCATTCTTCCTCCCTGTCCCTTATTCCCATTTTATCTCATACTATTTCGCCTCTCATTCTTGTTCCGGTCACTGCACTTCTCCTCGCCCTCTTTCTTTCCTCAGCAACATCCGTCCCTCTTTCCCCCGCCTCTCTCACCCTTGTTCCCTTACATCCGCCCCCCTCATCCTCCCTCTCCCTCTCTCTCTACATCTTCTCTCTCCCCTTTTATCTATCTATCTCCCATCTTCTGTGCTACAGTCTTCACCCCCCTATGTCTCTCTCTCTCTCTCTCTCTCTGTACTACATCCTCTCCTCTCATCTCTCCCATCCTTGTTCCGCTCACTAAACTTCTCCAGCAGGTTTTTGTGTGTGGACTTAGGTGCACCTTCCTTCGCGGGCAACAATTACCGCCCACGTCGCGCAACACACAGGAAATGAACTTCCAAATCTCTGCCACTTGTTGCTGCTGCTGCCAGACCCTGTACTCCTACTTACAAGGTGGACAATGTAGGAAAATTACCACGAACAGGGCAGGCAGGGGCTAAGGCGCTAAAATAACTTCATCAAATAGGATATGAATTAACCTACTCTAATCTAATTTAATTTAACCTAACTTGAATTATTCTAAGCTGATCTGAATGAAACCAATCTAAAGTAATCTGACCTAAACAAAACTAAACTAAATTAACCTAAATGAATTAAAATTTATACTAGGTTTGTTAGGCTTAGTCTGATGTGGTTTGAAGTTGTTTACAAAAAAAAAAAAAATTACAGTACTAAGACGACGCCCAGGTGACCATTAGATTATTGTTGTTATTGTTCAGAGATGCCATGATTCAACTAACATAACCAACAATTACCTAAAGATTGTTAACTGAGATTAGATTTGGTTGGTTTCTGTCGCTTGAAAAATAAATGGTTTTGTTAGCCCTCTTACTGTACATATACCTGCACATTTAACCCCTTCACTACT